TGTGTGTGTGTGTGTGTGTGTGTGTGTGTGTGTGTGTGTGTGTGTGTGTGTGTGTGTGTGTGTGTGTGTGTGTGTGTGTATGTGTGTGTGCGTGTGCGTGTGTGTATGGATGAGTATAACTTACGCTTCTTTGACAATTCCACTTGACGCGAATAATAGCGGCGACAGACCGATGTTTGAGATGATGCTTGCGGCGGAAGAGTTGGACAGAGAAAGTCCGCTGCCGATGATGCGGATGGTGCAGAAGATGGTAAAGAAGAGCCATCCGAGGAGGCCTTGACGGCCATGTTTGACAAGGAGGAAAGCACTGGGGATGATGAGAACGATGTAGATTGCCAAAGTGGCAGCGGTGAGGCCGTCGGTCATGTTGATTGTTATTTTGTATGCGTGATATTCAGTGTGGAGATGTAGCAATTGATATTCTAATTGAGATAGGGTCAATTCTATGGAATATGCAGGGGTTCATCCCCTTTAAATAATCCTTTGAATTTCCAAGGCTGCGCCCCTACATCATCAAAACATTCACCAAGGGACACCGAATATGGGAAGGATGAGGAATAAGTGCTTCGCCCCATGGCATACAGCCATAGCACCGAATTACACTCCTGATCTGGAATAGCTTCGATGATCACTCCCGCTATTAAGCTTTTTTGTGCTAAATAATTCGCTGAAATGTTCACTGTGGTTCCACTTTTCGTTCAACCCGGACCCGCTGGGCTGTGGTTTGAGGCATATTTCATGAATCGACCTGGTGTGTAAATTTTCAAGACTGTTCGCCATGGAGTATACTCCTGCAAGGAGAGTAGAATACTCGGTAGAAGCATAAATCTACCGGGTCCACGGCGCTAACATCTTGCCCACTCTCATACATACGGTGTACACATTTGGTGCTGGTGGAGGAACAGGGTCATTTCGGCCCCCAAACCAACAAGGCAATCAATCCCACGGATCATCATAACGAGCAAAATCAGGGGGGTTCGAACTTTAACAGAGCCCTAAAATTCAACGGATCTTCCATTCAGGGTATCTCATCCCCTGGCCACCGGGCAATGATTGAGGTACGGTTATCCTTCATTGCCACATCGAAATCACACGGCGGCATGACTCTGAAAATGTTCTCCTGCGCAATTTCGATCAATCGCTCCGTTTCGTAACTCGCACAAACAGCCTTCAATTCGTTGAGTCTTTGCATCCACATTATCCATCTTTCCAATTCATGTCCTCTCCACCCCTTGTCGGCGTACTTACTCCCTGGGGCTCCGTGGAGATCGGGATATCGAACTTGAAAATCGACCTTCTGCCGCAGCCGATCAGCCGCATAAATGAACCACATACACGCAGCTCGCATAGCGGCCGACTCGACCAACTCTTCCAGGGGCCGGGTGTCGTTCTCTAACGCCTCTCTCATGACCCAGATCGCTCGTAGAGATCGGTCCATTCGATGGACTTTCTGTGAGTCATTGAACGGTTCTCGAAGCTCAGCCGCTTGGCTCATTTGCGCGACGAACGCATTCAGATTTACCCAGCGATCCTGGCACTCCGGATCCATGTCCGGATCAGTGATGTCTGCAACACCGATAGGTCAGCCAACCATTTAGGATAGAAAGCGCAAACAATCATTGAACAAGATAGGGAGCAACACCCACCATGCCAGTCCCCACCATGTTCATCAAAAGCCTCCAACTCACTCCACCCCGAAGCCGGAAGATCCGTGAACAAGACATCACCTTGATAAGTTAGCGGCTGTCCTGTGACCGGATGCATCACCGTGCGCGTCTGCAGCTCAGCCAGCATCTGGACTAATTTCGTCTGCTTCGATGGAGGAAGACGCTGTGCGAGTTCCAAGAGCGCCCAGCATAGATTTGTATCGACGTTGGCGACGCCTTCTTCTGGATATTTGTCATCAATGATCATAGCGATGTTACATTGGTCGATGATCTGGTTGACGTAGCCTTCTACGCGGGCCTCGGGGTAGTGGACGAACTTGTCGAGGATTTTGAATTCTTCGGAGGACTCTATGGTTTTTATGAAGGAGGCGCGGCCTGCGAGGGCACTGTCGCGAGATGGCATGGTTTTGTCGCAGGAGGTGGTTTGTTAGTTAGGGATTTGGGCAGGCGTTTTTGCTTTGTTTTCGGGTGACTTGGACTAAGGGTGTATGAATAGCAAATCAAGAGGTGGTAAGTGTATTTGAGCAAGTCAAGATAGGGAAGAAGAAAAAGTAATCTAATTAATGAATATGGTACTCAATAGTACCCGTCAAGGGGATAGAGGGAGATATATTCCGAGTTTAACGGCGATTAACAGCCACCAAACAGGGCTGACCGGTACTGTGGTGTGGCAGAAAAATACCGCTACACTAAAAAGGGTCAACCCTTAGTAGTAAGGGCTTTTCTAGTGTATATACGCGGCGACATGTGGCTGTATACATCCTAGATGCAATGGAGATCTGAGGCTTCTTAGATATATGGACTGTCCACTGTCAATAGCAGCTCTGATTCAATGAAAGTATGAATTACCCAATCTAGGAGGCTGTGCACGCACAAATCGAGTGGCAGAATGTGGCGTAGCAGGGCGTGGTCTCCGACACGTTTCCTTTGGGGGCCAAAGCCATACACGGCAGACCTAACAATGTGGGTCGGCCGAATTGGATTCCCGTTATAGAATAATGACCTTGCACTATTAAGAGCGAGGTAATGAGAGGTCAACTACCAGACGATTTGGCGGAACACAGAGCTAACAAGGAAAACCGAAGATTAATTCTATTTTGGGGGTGTTGCAAAGAAAAAGAAGCATTCCTCGGGGTATGCAGGGGTAGTTGACAGGCGGCATCATGTAGTAATTACTGTTTTGGATGCCTGAGGCGTAATGTGCCAAGTATTTCGCCATCTTCATATAAACAACGTCTTTGTTCATTTTTCTTTTATGTTTATTTATGTGCTTAGGGAGCCGAGTCATTAAGATAGGATGCATACACCTAGTTCATAACGGGTATATGCCGTGGTTATGACCATATTCGATTGAATTGTTATGGTTATACACCATGCTATACAGATGGAGGCCAGCCAGGCTTCTCACCGCTCCTCGGGGCCCGCGGACAATGGGCAGGGCAGACGGACGATCGGCGCGGACCGAGTTGCGTCCGGCCTTGGCAGAAATACTGGACCTTACACCCGCGGACATGCTGCCACGACAATACGGATACCCACACACGTCCACAGCGATGCCAATTATGCAGCTACTGGGATGACAGTACTTGATGACATAGAAAATGCATTAAAACCATGAGGATAATGCCTGTCGTTCGAACACATCGCATACAACATACTGGTCGTAGCTGTCCTCCCGGGACCACCCTTCCCGCTCCTGCGAGACAAGAGGTGGGGAGGGATACGTGGCATTACGCCGGCGTTACCAGATCACGGGCAGTTCTGAGACCGCCGCGGCACGTGCTTGGCCCGTCCACAAACATTCCCATCCAGAAGTCTTCCCTTCTCCCTTCGTCCTCTCCTCGTCTCTGATACAGCCACGAAAGGAGCCTCGACGACCCGACGAGGTATCAATCGACAATGAGTGCCACGGGAGCCAAGAAGCCTGAGCTCTCGAGCGACATCGACTTCATCAAGACTCCCGCTGCGAAGCCCTCGGAATTCGCAACCGGCGAGGACTGCGGAATTGCTACGACCAATGTCAGATTTCCCCAAGCCATTGGCCTCTAATTCACCTCGCTCTAGCTTCGCTAACCTCCCCCAAGTCTGCAGCGATCAACAATCCCCCTCTGGCTGCTGACGGTCCCGGCAATGAGAGCTTCTCCAACCTCTTGTTAGCGGGTGCCATCACCGGTGTTCCCGGCCTGCTCACCTTCCTGGTGGGCGGTGGGTTCAAGACCTTCATCTTTTTTGCCCTCGTTTCCGTCCTCCCCGTTCTGGTGGCTTTCTGGACCTGGACCTCCAGCTGCAGCCCCCGCACCAACAACAAGGTTAAATTGCCTGGCCGCCCCGTTGAACACTACGTGACCTTCAAGCGCGAGGAGGACAAGGCAAAATGGCACGGAAAGAACAAGGTTCCTTTGCAGACCTTCGCCGAGATGTACCTGGACGGACTGGTGGACTTCAACGGCGACGTGCTCGAGGTGCTGGAATACCGTCACGACTGGGCAAGCTTCGCTTTCACCTGGGACCTGTTCAAGTTCATCGTTGGCACTTTCTTCGTTGACGTCCTCTTCCACACTAAGGCTCAGGATGAGGAGCAGATTCGCCCCAACTACGACAGCGGTAACGACCACTACGCTTGGTTCCTCGGCCCCCGCATGATCTACACCTCGGGTATTATTTCGGACAATGAACAGGAAGAGACCCTGGAGGAGATGCAGGATAACAAGATGGCGGTCGTCTGCGAGAAGATTGGCCTGAAGGACGGCGAGAAGATGCTGGACATTGGTTGCGGCTGGGGAACCCTGGCCAAGTTCGCCAGTCTGAACTATGGCGCCAAGGTGACCGGAGTTACTATTGCTGAGAACCAGACCGCTTGGGGCAACGACGCTCTCCGCCAGGCCGGCATCCCCGAAGAACAGAGCAAGATTCAGTGCATGGACTACCGTGATATTGTTCGCGAGCGCTATGACAAGATTACGCAGCTGGAGATGGGTGAGCACGTCGGTATCCGCAAACTCACCGGATTCTTCCGCCAGTGCTACGACATGCTCAACGACGACGGTGCCATGTATGTTCAGCTTTCCGGCTTGAGACAGGCTTGGCAGTATGAAGATTTCATCTGGGGTCTGTATCTGAACAAGTACATCTTCCGTGGTGCCGATGCCTCTACTCCTCTCTGGTATTACATCAAGTGCTTGGAACAGGCTGGCTTTGAAGTGAAGGGGTGAGTCTTCTTATCACAGTTCAATTGAGCAAAGCACTAATAACGAATAGAATCGACACTGTCGGTGTCCACTATTCCGGCACCCTCTGGAGATGGTACCGCAACTGGGTTGGTAACGTCGAGGCCATCAAGGCCAAGTACGGACCTAGATGGTACAGAGTGAGTTTTTCCGTCTCCTGGCATTCTGATCAACTCTAACGTGCAATAGATCTGGGAGCTCTTCCTCGCCTGGTCCGTCATTGCCTCTCGCCAAGGTTCCGCCACCTGCTACCAGATGGTTGTCGTCAAGAACCTGAACTCCACCCACCGTATCAATGGCCTTGCCAGCCAGTTCGGTTTGGCCGGTGCCCTTGAAGCGAGCCGCAAGGCCGGCAAGTCTCGCCTTCCTTAGGGGATTCTTGATCTGAATCGCTCATTGAGCACGCCATCCTGATCGGGATATCAAAATTTATGGAGGAGTGATGAAGTTGTTTGTACTATATAGTACTGTACGTCACGTGATTTATGGCTAAATTTGATGTTTAGATAGAATTTAGGAATGAATGGAACGAAGAGATACGAAGCTCTACAGCTGGTCCGATGAAATATGAACTTGTTACAGCTCATGGATATTGCTTTGCAGTCCCTTAATCTGGTTATTCATGCCTTTGAACCCCCAAAGACAAATTGTTACAGTATCAAACACCAAACAGAACGGAGAGAGCAGAACGTCTTTTTATCAAACGAGTTCCAACCGCTAATTCCCGCGAGTATTCTCAACATGCTCTGCCAATTCCACCGTCGCGGTGGCATTCTTCCCGCCCTCCGCATCCTCCGGGACCTTATCTTCCAGCGACGGAACGATACCCACGTTGGACTGCGAGTGTTCGTCCATTCTCTCGCGCTGGAAGAGATTGACGTAGATCGGGAACACCAAGGCCAGGATGTAGCCCATCATGGGAATGGCCATGGCGACGTGGGCGTTCTTTTTGGTCACCACTGTTTGCTCTCGTCAGCATCTCACCAGCCAGCCAGATTCATGGGCAAGTAGAAAGGCGGGGGGAAGGCAAACTAGCACCGCAAACCAAAGGAAAAGAGAAAGAAGGAAACAACATACCAGCACCCATCATAGGCGGAAACGCCGCACCACCACTAATTGCAGCAACCAACATCCCACCCCCACGCTTCGTATGCCTCCCCAAACCCCTCATACTCATCGTAAAGATCGTCGCGAAGCAACAGCTCTCAAACACAAACACCATAATCAACATCCCCACACTGGTCGTACCTGTCGTCTTCATCGCCGCAATCGAGAACACAAAACAAGCCGTCAGATAAGCCGTCAGCATATATCGTGGCTTGAAGGCGGGGATCATCATCAGTCCGCCGGCGATGAATCGGTTGAATGCGTACACGGCCTGGGCGATGGCGAAGAGATCGCTGGCGAACGCTTTGTCTTTGCCGGCTTCCATGGCGAAGTTGATGAAGTAGTTTGCGACGGAGACTTGCGCGCCGATGTAGCAGAATTGAGAGAACACGCCGAGGAAGAGTGTGTATTGTTTCTTGAGGGGACCGGTGTCGGTGTCGGAGATTTCGGCTTCTTGGGCGCTCATGTCGGCGTCTGGGGAGGAGGTTAGGTGGGTTTAGTGGGATGGGATTCAGGTGGCGATTGGGGGTAAATATGAACGAACCTGTGATTTCAGGGAAAGGAGCCAGGAGGAACAGAATGACTAGGAGAGCGACGAAGCCCGCGACACCGAGGTAGACCCATTGGACGTTGTTGAGACCCTGATCGTCATCCACTGGGATCAAATGATATCACTCAGTAAATTACCCGAGTCATACCAGGAACCTATGGAATGATAGACATACCGGTATGCGCAAAAAACACCCGGCTCGCCAACAACGGCGCCACGAAGCCTCCCACGCCCTGCACCGCCTGAGCCAAGTTCAAACGCACCTCAGAGTACTTAGGAGGACCACAGATAGCAAGAAACGGATCCGCTGCCGTCTCGAGCGTCGAAAGACCCGCGCCGACAATGAACATAGACCCACAGAAGCCGCCAAACGACTTCTTCACCCCTGACGGCCAGAAGATCAGACATCCCACAGCGAGAACCACGAGCCCTGTGATGAACGTCAAACGGAAGCCAAAGCGACGCAGGATCCAACCGGAGATGGTCAGCGGACAGACAAAGTATGCGCCGAAGTAGGCGGCCGAGAGACCGGAGGCTTTGGCCGGGGTGATATTAAGGGTGGATTGGAAGTGAGAGTTGAGGACATCGAGGAGGCCGTAGCCGAAGCCCCAGAGAAAGAAAAGGATGGTGACTGATTTGACGTTAGTACACGGGACCCCGATCAGTCGTTCACTATCTCTAAATCACATACCGAGAAAATTCGGGAATAGAGACTGCTTTGTCGTGAGACGACCAGCATGCGTCACCTGGTCGTCTGAGACGGTGATCTTGTGTTTGAAGAGACCCATCTTAATACTTAGGGGTGCTCAGGCTGTCCGATGAGTAGATGTCACAAAACTCTCCCCTGATCCCCAGATAGGGCCATGGTCTTATATACAGCGTTTGACCAGAATGCGGTGTCAGTGCATAAGCGTGTTTTCCCCGGGCGAACCCCAGGCACTCCAACCTTTTCCACATGGTTGAGATTTACGATTTCAATCTCCTCAATAATCTGCAATAATACTCGGGTCAGTTCGCACCGAAGATGTCAGCGCCAAGGGGATACTTAATGAATCATTGGTCCGGCTGGTTTGTGGCGTTGAGCCAGACCAGATACGACGGCAGCTAACAGGGGCAAGATGGAGGCGTGTGATCCATCCCAGGCATTTCCGATCACGAGAGAAATAACAGACGAGGAGTGATTTTGGTTATATTCGTGTGCTATAGGGAGAATGAAGGGAGGTGCTCGTCGGCGATGCATGCCTGCGCTCAATATCAAGTGCATAGAGATGATAGCTTGGAGAAAGTTCGTCAACTTCCAACCAAGCTTTCAATGTTTTTATTCTCGATTAAATGGAAGCCTCGCGGCATAAAGAACCGCCACCGAACTCGGAATATCCGAAGCATGGCAGAGCCAAACGTAAATCCCTTCATAGGTCAAGACAAAAGCGAAGGATGTAACGAGTACGGGGCACGGGAACCCCAGACCCCAGACCGAACCCCAGAGCTTTCCCCGCATGTCTACACTTGCCGCCCCCTTTTCCCGGGTGGTGTGCGCTAGAGGCCAGTCAGTCCAATGGAAGTCTTCACTTTACTCTTGTATCGGGGATTTGGGTTTTTCTTTCGGGCCTTCGGTTGATGAAGCACGGACCTGAATGACTGCCCCCGATAGTGGGGTTATTCGAGCCCGATAGGGAGGGAGTTGGGTTCGTGAGAGATGCAGTCTGATAGGCGTGAAGGTTGATTCTTTTATGCCATGGCTTTACATGTAAATTGTTGGCGCTAATGGATATCAATTTTCCATTGGTTTCTTTAACGTAGACTCAGGAATACGAGTACGCACAAGAGGGTCACTTGTTGTGTTTATCTTTTGTCTGCCCTATTTCATGTTGTTGACACATCCCTTATCACATTCATCAACATAGCCATGTAGATAAGATAAAATAGGTGGAATCTAGAGAAATTGCATATTTGAGAAGGAAATTTAGTCAAATCTAATATAAGAGAGAGGGCTTCCTCATGGAACTGAATGGAACCTCCAAATAATCTTGTCAAGTCCGTAAATCATATATGATTACTCTCACTTAACAGGCGGTTTAGGCTCAACCAAGCTTCGGTTTATTTCTAGTATGCGACCCACTAAAATATCATTCCTACTGCCAAAGATATAAAATGACTCAAAGTTTACAGAATATTCCACAATTTATATGATTTCATGTTATTTAGCTAAAAATAGTAGATTCATCCCATAACTATCATCTCGCTGACTCCTTTGCTTCGTATAATACTCATCGAATTAAAACGCTTACCCTGTTATCAACTAGGTAAAAATAAAGTCACAGTGAACCTTTCTTTTATAGTCAAGTTGAAATACAATTGCCCTGTTCGGTTTGCCTGCAGTAGTCACCGCAGCTTTCCTATTCACTATGGTCAACATGGTCTCCGTCCCACACTGATTCATTCACTCACTCACTCTCTCTCTTTATCTCTCCCCCTCTGTCTCCCTCTGTCTCCCTCTATCTCCTTTCCTCTCGCCCTCTGTCTCCCTCTGTCTCCCTCTATCTCCTTTCCTCTCCCTCCCTCCCTCCCTCTCTACGCGCCTGATTATAATCGACACGGCGACCCTACAGCATCGGTCATCAAAAAGATGTCTTGTCACATATTCGTCTACCTGTTCTTCGCCCTCATTCAATATGTGGCCTCCGATGTTGCACCAATAACCGATTTTGTCGCTTACCAAGGTGGACAATTTGGTCTCAGGCCCAACCAGACCTACCACACGTCAAATATAATATCTCCGGTCTTTCTAGTCAATACCTGGGACAAGGCATCGGTGGATAATGCCTCACACATCTTTCTGGCTTATGCGAGCAATCCCGAGACAGGTGTTGGGATGTTTTTTTCAGCGAGCGACCTCAGTCTCGTGTGGTTCCAAGACGAAACTCGGGAAAACAAGGTCAACAATGTAGGAGTTCAACAGTTCCAGGGAAATGACTACCTGACTGTCTGGGTTGGAAAACAAACAGAGGGTCACGGAAACGGAAAGTGGCTCATGCTAAACTCCTCTTACGACATCGTCCACACTATTACAACCAATGGGCTCCCGATCGGCGCTGATATTCATGAGTTTCGTCTTACAAACGAAGGAACGGCCTTGATTACGGCGTATAATCCCATCCACTATGACCTGAGGACAGTCGGAGGATCGGAATGGGACACGCTGTTGGATAGCGTCTTCCAGGAAGTGGATGTTATAACTGGCAGAGCACTTTTTACGTGGCACGCCATCGACCATTTCAGCATTGCGGACTCGTGTGTTCCTTATTACAAGGGGCCTGACGGCTGGGACTGGTGTCATATCAACAGCATACAAACGGTAAATAGCCATCAGTAAATGCTAGATGAGGCATATTCGACATACTGACCCATTCTAGACCCTCGATGGGCATTATGTGGTCTCTTTTAACTTCTGCAGTATGGTCGTTTATATCAACGGCACCAACGGCAACCCCATCTGGATCATGGGTGGGAAGAAGAACCAATTTACCGACAGCGTCAGCGGAAGAGTGCCCGACTTCGCCTTCCAGCATCATGCGGTCTTCCACGACAAGGAATTGAAACACTTGACTATGTTCGACAACCACGTGCGTAACACCTCGCTTGGTTGTACTTTCAACTGTTCGACCGCTCGGTTCTTTACAATCGACTACGCGACAATGTCAATGTCTAGCGTTCGTCAACTTTCACATCCCAAAGGCCTGCAGTCGATAGTGATGGGAAATGTGGAGAGTTTACCGGAAGGCAACACTCTTGTTAATTGGGGACATAATACTGCACTGACAGAGCACACGGCAGCCGGAGAGGTCGTCTTAGACCTCCAATTTGGTGTACTTGGATCCGCGCTAGGATCCTACCGTGCCTACAAAAAGAATTGGAAGGGATATCCCACGACGGACCCGACTATCGTGGTGCGACGCCAGAACGCCTCTTCGCCTGAAATTCTTTATGTGAGCTGGAACGGCGCAACGGAGGTGAAGTGCTGGGGGTTGGTAAGTTTTGCGATACCATCTTTCGTCAAAACTGATGTTAACGTCAGTTTTCTATTCGTTCTTAGCTGGCCTCAGCTTCGGTCAATCCTCTTCGTCGAGTAACGCTTGTCGATGCGGTTCCACGCGCAGGGTTCGAAACGGCTATTCTTGTGCGCTCCCCGGAGCGGTATATCCGTGCTGTAGGCTTGGATGCTCAGAGAGAGGTTCTTGGCATGTCCACCATCTGGGATCGAGAGACACAGTCGATGGTGAACATTGAGAATTGTTGGCAATTTGAGCGCAAATGCCTATATTTTCACGCTGACCAATCGATGGTGGCAACAATTAGGTCTTGTAATTGTATCGGGGAATCTGTCTGAGTGGAAATCTGACGTTTGATCATTTCGAATACGATTCAATTTTTTGTTCGGTTGATTGCCATGTTTGCGAGAAAGAAGCTGTACCCAGATTTATTGATGTAAAAATGTCAGCTTATCCAGTGAGGTTTCAATGACTTTCCCGATCTATAAAGAGTGTGGTGCCTGAGGACTGCCTGCAAACCGGCCGAGAGCTGGGCGTCTGACGTCATCCGCTGCCAACGAGGGGGCGATGCCAACGCAGCTAAACAACCCCGGACTCTTCGCCCACTCTCCATCTTTCATCATCATACTCTCCCCCAGGTTTGTCGAAATGGCCTTTGCGCGCAGATTAGCCATTCTCCCTGGAGGCCTAGGTTGGTTTTGACTCCTACGTCAGTCCCAATCGCTCCACTAACCCGCCCTACAGGTGGCCTCGGCTCCAGCATTGGCAAACGTCTCCGCGAACAAGGAGCCCGACTAGCAATTCTCTACGCCCCATTCGAAGCCTCTCGTCGAGACCAGCTACTTGAGGAAGGCTACGGAGCCACGCACAGCAGAGATGAAATCCGGACATACGAATGCGACATCACATCGCCGGAATCTGTGCAGTCGGTGTTCGGCACGCTGGAGACGGAGATGGTCTCTCCATCTTCATCCTCTGTGCCAGATCGCGTCTTCCCTAGCATCCTGATCAACACGGCTGGATATGTATCTCTCAGCGATATGGAGATCACGCCTCCTGAAGATACCATGAAACATCTTACTACCAACGTACTGGGGCCGATGATGTGCTCTCAGGCCTTCGCGCGGCTGTATTTCGCGGCCTCAAAAACCGCGGAGTCTTCGACTAGTCCGCCAGCTCCGGGCCGCATCGTGAATATTGCGTCTCAGGCCGCGCATATCGCGTTGCATCGGCATGGCGCTTATTGTGCGTCGAAAGCGGCACTACTGGGTTTGACTCGCAGCATGGCGTCTGAGTGGGGAGGTCGTGGCATTACGGCGAACAGTGTCTCGCCTACCGTGGCATGGACGGCATTGGGGAAGAAAGCCTGGGGGGAGGACTCAGTCCGGGAGGCGTTCTTGAAGAATATCCCAACGGGGAAGTTTGCTTTGCCTGAGGAGGTTGCAGATGCGGCGGTTTTCTTGTGTCAGGTGAGTTCCACATACCCTTGCTTGTAGCGATTTGTCCTAATGTTTGGAATAGGACTCGAGTGGTATGATCAACGGCGCGGATATCCGTGTCGATGGGGGGTATACCATTCGGTGAATGCTGCTCTGGGGTAGATGCAGGGCAATAGGGTCATCTAGTAAACGGTAAATAGAATTAAATTCGGCTATTTTTACAGATGGGTCTTTTGTATCGACATTCGACGGCTTGGTGGGTTGATAGGTAGGTCCACGTGAGGATGCCCGTGGGATGATCTTGTTGTTGGTCCACGACCGATGACCGATTTCATCTTTGACGGCATGGAAGTTCCGTTGAAGGCTACAGACATACCAAATATGCAGAAAAAGCAACAAACAACTATTGACAGTCAGCCCGGGTTTTATTAGTGCATCAGACAATCCGACTCCAAAGACTCATCCCCTTTTCGTATCGTCTAGTATGCGCATAAATTACGAATCTGACATTCTTGAAGCCCTTCCTGAATGAAAAACATTCTTTTGTTGTGTCCTCGAGATTCGCAGGCTTACTGACAGGGCGCCGGTAGGCCTTGAAGCCGTACCAACGCAACTACTGCACTAGCCACCATCTTTTCTATAGCAAAAATGTATGAAATTTCTGACTGAAACACTTGGGGATAGAGCAACCTGAAAGTTACGCGAAGCAGATTCCATCGAATACCAGGTGCTCTTTCCTTTTCACAGTCTCGACCTTGACCGTATGCCAAATCGTACGCCAGTTTTTCCAATTGAGATAGATCGCTCCAAGACTTCCTTGGTCGGGGCTGACGAGGAGTCTCGAGAATGCGGAGGTCTACTGCCGCGCTTGAAATAATACACAGAAAACTTTCCGAGACAGAAGCTCCCGTGCTTGGTGGTAGGAGGGGCGGCCAGGAAACTCGCAGGCCGTCGAGCGTCCCGTCAAACTGTCGTTTACCAACTGTATAGGGCTCCTGCGGTTTAAGCTCGACCCCTCTGGGCGAGCTTCCCGTTACCAGACTTATCGATCCAGCCACATTGATGTTGAACAGTGAGACAAATGGTACGTTTCCCTCATTTTGTAGCTTGATTTGGACATAATCTCCATCATTGATATGGACGGTGCCGTCTAGGGGCAGCTTTTCTCGGTTGCGAAACGTTTCGAAAGCTACCCGGAGATTGTGCTCTAAGACCTCCCCATCAGCTGCCTTGAGATTGAGGAGGTGGCTCGCTCGAGATAATAAGCTTGCTTGGTTAGCTGCCTGCTTCACGGCTTCGTACTTGTCGGTGGACCCAAAGCCGAAGGAGGCACAGACTGACAAGACGCGTCCGACAAGACAATCCGTTGTCCTTCAGCGTGAATATGAGCAAATTCCTTCTCATGATCTCCGTCGTCGATTAGTCGAATATGAGCACGATCGGTTATCAGATGTGAATACTCCGCTAGGTCTTCTGACATCGTAACCAGATATTGAGAGGGAGAACTCTTTTATTAGAAAGGCACAGCCGTCTGCCAGGCTGAGTCGTTCAAGGCCTATATTTTGATATGCCTTCAGAACAGCCTCAAAGGCCCCGACTGCCTTTACTGATGCAATGCCGATCTTCTCCCTAGGAATCGCCTCGTGATATCCGTATGGCATGATTATATATTGGTTGTTTTCATGTACCGCAGCCAAACGACCAGCCTTGAGAATAAGCGTCTCACCCTCCAGCCTTACGGGAACTGCGGCGAAGCTTTTCCTCTCCAAGGGGAACATGACGTGTTCATGGGGGCCCTCAACGTGTGGGCGTTGGTCGGGAAAGTCAATCGCCTCTAGCTCCGAGACTCTCATCATGATCTTCCGCCATGACACCTCCACGGGGCGTGATAGAAACTGACGCATGACCTCCACCAGGGCTTCCGTCATCGCTCCTTGACCTCCAAGCGGCCCGATTTGGTTTTCCCAAGCTGTTTCTCTACCGGCACACGCGACAATTCGTACTAGATGTGGATTGCCCTCCAGACTGGTGATCTTAGATGGGTCCAGCTTTCCATCACTCTGAAGCTGTCGCGTACGATTCTCGAGCACCTCTGAACGAAGTCTGGACACCCCCTTAGGGACGGCATTTCCACCATTTAGCAAGTTCCGTGCGATCTTGCCCGAATGGCAACAATCAAAGACGGCCGTCACATTACGGGTCCGCTCGGTAATCTGGTGAAAGTAGGAGGAGATTTCAACGTCCAGAATACCATTCAACCGTTTCTCGCAGTAATTATAATCATTCGGCACAAGATACTGGTAGCGCCGTCCGCGTCCCCGGGGGAGGGCTCCACCAAGCCGCCATGCCCAGAGTAATAGAAAAAGACAGTATCATCCTTCTCAATTTGTTTGCTGAATTTGTGGACAGTCGAAGCGATGAAGTCCAGCTTCACCATGACCATCCACAATTAGCCAAGGAGTATGATCGTCTACGCCAGGTCTTATCACATCCCCTCAAGGACTCGGCCGAACGAGCCACCAAGCTGTCCAACGTGATTAAATGGAAGCAAGATGCTCCTAGACAGCTCGATGCCTGCTTAGTCGAGATCCGCAGCAAGACTGGATATGAAAACTTTCACTTAGAGCCCGCCTTTTCTGATCCCATAGCTCAAGCTGTTGAGGGTCCTATCGTAACTATCAACGTTACGGAATTGGCTAGTGATGCGATCATTCTGCTGAGTCAGGAGATTCACGTTCTCAATTTACCTGGAATGCATACTTCCATTTCATCTCATTTTGGTCTATCCACCCTCCTAGGGCGCTTTCGGAATCTAGGTGACAGGGGTAGCCATCGGGATATGCAAGGCGAGATGGACACGCTGAACTCCGTCCCCGAACCGCTTCTGTCCTATTATCGCACCTCCTCCCTTGCCTGGTTGTGGGAATGTTGTGTTTGTCCAGTACTAGGCAAAATTGAGGCCCTAACTTCGTCGACCCCGAGTTCGGACTGTCCCTTGAATCGCATTTGGTGGATCGGAACTGGAGTCGCCAGCTCCCTGCCATTTCACGCCGTTGGACATGGACCCGAGCAGCCCACTGAAAACACCATGCACCGTGTGATCTCCTCTTACACGCCTACCATCAAGGCGCTCACCTATTTTCGATCCTGCCTGAATAAAATAACAGCTACAACCCTCAATCAGGACGTTCAATCCTCAATCACCATCGTGGCTATGCCTACCACTCCGGCTGGGAGATCACTTCCGGGAGTCTTTCAAGAGATCGAAGTCATTCAGAAGGCCGCTGCTGCTGTTTCTGCCGCATACAAGGTCCAGGTAGAGCACCAACCGGGGGCTGAAGCCATTCTAGAGGTCATGAAGAAGCATAATATCATTCACTTTACCTGTCACGGATCTTGTGACCCGGGCAACCCGTCCGAGAGCCATCTTCTTCTCCAGCACCACAGCAACAGTGACAACCCATCGTCGACTCCCGGTGTCGAGAGACTGACAGTCCAACAGATCTCCGATCATGTCGCCAGTCAAGCGCGAATCACATTCTTGTCTGCTTGCTCAACAGCCCAGATCACCGCAGAGAAGCTCACGTACGAAGCTATTCACCTGGCTAGCGCTTTTCAGGTTGCTGTTGGACACCTGATTGCGTCGATGTGGTCAGCGAACGATGATGCTTGTCCGGAAGTCGCCCGACATTTTTATGGCCAGCTTCTGGCCCAGTTTCAGGAAGGCAGAATCCCGTTCTCGAATCGATCAGTGGCCGAAGCCTTGCACAATGCTGTATGGCATTAAGGAGTACAAAAGCCACGACCAGAACCGGAAGAGGAAAGACCAAGACAGGTGATATGAGAAATCAGTCACAGCCTGAACTATTGCCGCCACTACCCGATACTTTGCGACTATCGCAGTCTGTTCATGACACATCAGGTGACCACAGGCTCACGTCCTCCGGGACCTGAGCATTCATTCGAAAACGAATATTCTTCATCTCAGCCCTTGCTAATAGGCCAGACACCAGATAATGTGGACCCAGTATTATCACCCCAATTTCTAAACGACCTTTACATGGGTAGCGTTCACCTGGATACTGAAAACACGGACGAATGAATCTTTTGGTTTCTATCCAATCCTATAATTCAAGGATTCCTTCATCATAAACATGAAACTAAACTAGCTCAGTCGTCAACTTCCCTGTATTCGCGCCCTCGAACAACCTCATCCAAACAGCGGGAATATCTTCAAATTTAGCCTGCACGACCGTCTCCGTTGCATCATCCACCTCAATCTTTCCATCTTTCCAGGCCTCAACCAGAACCTGAGTGGCCTCGGCGATCTTGGGGAAGTAATCGAAGATCAGGAATCCATGGATGGTGATGCGGTTGGATATCACCTCCTATGACTAGGTTAGTACTCTCTACTCGGCCGAGTACCCCATAGCTGATCCTATGATCAAGCTTGACGAAAAGAAGAGGAATAGACATACATAAAAGTTCTTCAACCCTACTGGGTCTCCGTCACGGTTATAGTTTGCAATAGTACCGCTAATCAATCAGTTAGTGTCAATCATCCCAACCTTAAGACAGACCCCCGGGGAAGAAGAACATACCAAGCAGCAATCCGTCCATACCGCTTCACTCTGAGGAGCATGAGATCGAGGATCTTTCCACCAACGTTATCTAGGTAAACAGCTCGTCAGTTGATGTCACCTACTTGATGTCTTTCTGGGAGGGAGGGAGAGGATATGCAGAATCCTAACTCACCGAAGTAAACCTCGACAAAGCCTTCTGTCTCGCGGAAGAGATCCTCTTCGAAAGACTCCTTCCGGTAGTTGATACACACGTCCGCACCGAGCTTCTCGGCCCAGCGACATTTCTCATCCGTGCCGGCGATGCCGATGATCTGTTCGTCACCCGTTAGCATACTTCCATTTTCCTCGCCACCGTCACAATAACCACCCCGTCATTTAACACCAATTCCTCCACTTTTCCAACATAGATGAAACGAAAAGAAGGGAAAGACTAACCCTCTTACAACCCACAATCTTTCTCGCGATCTGCACAACCATACTCCCAACCGCGCCAGCCGCACCACTAACAACAAGGGTATCCTCCTTCCCCAGCTTCACAACCTCCACGAGGCCATAATAAGCCGTCAAGCCGGGTAAGCCAAACGAGCCCAGAAAATGCGTATCCCTGAGTCCCTCCAAACTCCCAATGACGGTACAATCCTCGATGTTGGCAACAGTGTACTCGCTCCATCCGGTGCGCGCGAACACTCTCGACCCTGGTTTCAGTCGATCTTCGTCTCCAGAGGCCACGACTTCGGCGATACCGGTGGAGCCCATGACTTCGCCGACGTTGATGGGTGGGACGTATAGACGGGCTGGGTCCGCGGTGGCGGAGATCCAGCCGCGTTGGGCGGGGTCATTGGAGAGGTAGATTGTTTTGAGGAGGGCTTGGGAGGGGCCTGGGGAGGACAATGGGGTATTTTTAAGGGTGAATGTTGGTGGAATTTCGGGGGATAGGGATTTAGAGCTGTTAGGAAGGATGGGGAGATGGGAGTGTGGTTTGTGGGATAAGGTCCATTGTTTGGTGGTGGATGGGATTGGGGCCATTTTGTAGATGGGTGAACTTTGTTCAATTAACTTTTTCTGTTTATTTCAGATGAAAGGGGCGCGTGAAGATAGATACTATGATCGGGAAACGATGGACGTTATATAGATATCTCGGTCCTCGGTGTTGTGATCCTGGTCATCCTTCATTACAAATCGAATGCGGAGACGAGTAGATTTGTCAGTAGGATTGCGTTTCATATATGCATGTTGCTTGCTTGGGTTCCACCTTGGCTATTTCCGACTCGTATGATTCCCAGTGCTCGGTGTTGGTTCTACCTCAGATCTACCGAGTACCGAACTCTACGCCCAATCCAAGCACAACACCAAAACGAAAAGTTTATAATAAATCATCACATTGGAATCAAATGTTTAAAATTTTTTATTCACCCGATACCCGCTATATATCATAACACATCACCAAACCCTAGTGACCAGCACTAACAACCAAGCACTCACTCAATCAAGGCCATTGCATTTAAACAACAACCTTGTGAGAAGCAGGCTTCTCGTCCTCCTCGCCGAAGATATCGATATCCCAGCGGGGCACGTTAGCGATGTAAGGAGTGTTGTAGCGACGACGCTCCTTGCCCAGCTCAGAGACCTTAGCGACCTCCTCGGGAGTGAGCTCGATCTCCTTGAAGTTATCGGCGATACGCGAAGGCGTGACGGACTTGGGGATGACACTAACGCCACCGACCTGGGACCAGGCGAGGATGACGTGGGCGCCGCTGACGGGGTGGCCGACACGCTTGGCGACGGACTCGGCGACTTCCTTGATCTCGGGGCGGTTGATGAGGAGCGGGACGCCGAAGCCGTTGTTGCCGAAGGCCTTGGGTCATGGTTAGCATTGATGGGTGGAGTGGGTTGGGAGGGTGAAGGGATGGGAGCTTACGGAGTAGGCAGTGACGTGGATGCCCTTCTGCGCGCAGTACTCGATCAGGTCGTTGCTCTGGAGGACGGGGTGACGCTCGATCTGGTTGGCGGAGGGGACGACACCGGTGGCCTGGATGAGGGCCTCGATCTGTAGATATTGAGTCAGCATCGACATTGGTTGATCCAAGAGGAGGGTAATTGGAAGATAGTGGGATAACATACGTGCTCCTTCTTGTGGTTAGAAACACCGACGGCGCGGGCCTTGGACTTGGGGAGCTTGGTCATGGCCTTCCAAGTGTCGACGATAGAAATGCTGTCCTCGATGTCGACGTCACCGCCCTCGACGGAGCTGTTGGCAACCAGGGGGAAGTAGTTGTCGCCGCGCTTGAAGGTGACGGGCCAGTGGACGAGGTAGAGCTGCACAGGTTAGACTTTGCCGACAGAAGATGAGGGCGGAGAAGACATACGTCAAGGTACTCGAGCTCAAGCTCAGCAAGACACTCATCAAGAGCCTTCTCGACATCGTCGGGGTGGTGCTGGCTGTTCCACAGCTTGGAGGTCTGGATTGGATTGGATTAGCACGGACGTCTTGATCGATTGATCGATGGAGGGTGTGGTGCGCATACGATGAAGATGTCCTCACGCTTGAGGCCGGGGACGTCCTTGTAGGCACGCTTGATGCCGTCGGCAACCTCACGCTGGTTCTGGTAGCTATTGTGGGTCAGTATTGGGCGCGACAGAGACCGAATGGCGTAACCTACATAGTAGCCAGATCCTAGATCTGTTAGCGGGGTTCAGTCCGAATTGACGTGATCGCTGATCCACTTACCAGATGACGGTAACCAGCCTTCAGGGCGTGGTAGACGGCCTCGCCGACCTCACCGGGGGCCGACTGCCAGGTGCCGAATCCCAGAGTGCTGGTCAAGTTAGTCTCGAGTCAATTGACGTCGAGGAGGGAAAACATACGGGATCTTAGCACCGGTGTTGAGAGTGAAGGTCTTGCCGAGAGACATGGTGATGATGTAATGGATAACGAGATGGAGAGTGAACGGAGAATATACAGGAGGATAGAGATGAGGAGAAAAGAGAAGAGGAAAAACCGTGAAAGAAGAGGGAAAGGGCAGCAATAAAATAGGTAGCAGTCTGGAGGGCAATTTCTCCGGCGGGGTCTAAAAAGACGCAATGCAAGGCGTGCCAATACTTTCCCATGGACCTTCCCAACGTGACCCTCCCTTCCATCGCGATGTTTTTCTTTTACCCCGCCAGGTACCCCTCGGCGGGGCAGTGCGTGGGATTGCCCGTTTGGACTCCGTTTCTGGGGGTTCCAGATTCCCCATTGCTGAGTTGACAGTTCACACTTTCCAATTGTAGGTCTGGACAGGTGCCCAGATTATCTACGGTGTCTACAATGTCCACAGTGTCTATTCTATACAGTAAACACCTCCATACTTGCACCTGTCATTCCCATTCATACATGCAGCTGCCATGCAAGTGCCTAGTAAAACTGCAACCTCCAAATGGCGGCCTCTGACTGGTGGAAATGAGATGACGTCACGTCGGCCAACATTCCTCCGGAGCCCGTCTCGCCCCACCTTCTCACTTACGTCAGCCACTGGCCAATCACCGTCCCGGCCGGTGCATTTACCCGCACGGATAATTTCCCAGTCGGTGTTCCTTCGAGCCCCGGCTAATTCCACAATCTGGGGTTCGGTTCGCTTGCAGAGCTGGAGTAGAATCCAGGGCAGCGATCGGTTCCACGGTCACCCATGTTGGACTCGAGGGAATGAATTGATATCTTGGTTATAACTGAAGATCGGCTCGAAACAAGACCAGGAAACCTTGCAGGCCGACCTTTCGGGGCGCTTGCATATCTAGTTAGTTTTAGGAGTAAACCATTGATATCCTTGGTCTGGCGGGCCCGTGCACCGTCGGGGTCCTGTTTGGGACAATTCGAACGTTCGAGAGCCGCGTTTTGTATGACATTAGTCATGGTCCATGGGGGTCACCATCAACTGTGTTCTGTATAGAGCCGATTTCGTTGACCGTGGTACCTCATAGCAATCACTCCGTACTATACTCATTCACCCGTCACCACATACATCGAACGACATTAAGAGGGTTCTATAAGATCTCCTCACTCAATCAACGGCTTCCAATTCCTCGCACATAGATGTATAGCGCCTAGATTTCCGGCTGTGGAACAATATCATCCTGGAATATCTTCATAGATAGTCCAGGTACCTCAAACGTACTATCACCTAAATCTAATAATCCAATGACCAACTACCGTGAGCTTTATCTAATTTTATACCGATTACCGACCAACTCGTCCATCAGATAGACAGCCGCCTAATAAGGCACCGAGCAAGGAACAACTGCAGCCGTTAAGCTTACTTGAACCCCCCTGCCGTGTATGGTTCGGGGTATTGTATCCCGAGTTGCACAGGGTTCAACATACACTTCGCAATATATACCCCGAGCTCGAAATGTTCATGTCAAGTGTCTGGGCTGGGAACGTGGGTATACCATATTGACTATTGGTCATATTTAAGGACGCTTTCAATTATTTTTATTATTTTCATGTCGATGTCAATAAGGTCTACTGATCCGACCGTCGATTTAATTAGATCCCGTCATTAATAGTATCGTAGCACAATTCGGACACCTCTCAGGATATATATCGGCATTTCCGCTAGCAGGTACTCGACCACGAAAAGTCCTAGGGCTTGATTAATTAATGGTAGACAAATAACAAAATTAATTCCCACCGGTCCAGCAATTGATTCCTTCAGTTTAAACTTGGAATATAAAGTCTTTGAATAGTACAGAGTAAATTGTAATTTTTTGGATCGCTTCCGATCGCTCCCGAGCCGTGTAGACCTCTCCGGTCCTCCCAGCTATAACCTACCACTCTGAGGGTCGCACATTTTCAGACTGGTCGAGTGGAGGCTCTGTCGCAAGGTCAATGATATGGACGCAACGGACAAAGTTTGCATAATCCCTACCCCTCCAAAACGAATCGATTCTATTGGAAATTTACATCATAGATTTTCTACGGCACAAGAACTACATCATAATTTTTTCGCCCAATTTCGATCGCTCCTGCAGCCGGTAGGCGTCTCACAGAAAACGTACCACACCGAAGGTCGCATATTTTCAGACTGGTTGGCAGGGACAGGGTCATGTGACATTGGTGGTTTGTCGGAACATGGGTTCTTCCCCTGTCCTTGGGTGCCGGGCTGCACAGCCATAGTCAGCATCTCATTAGTAACTATTTAGCCTGGCTTCCGGTGTGCATCCGCACCCCTGAATACCAGACTCCTCCATGCTTCCACATGGTTTTGCCCAGGCCAAGTGGCATTTGCACTTTACCCCCGCCCCAAGGCCAGCGACCACTCCGTCCAGAGGTTGATCGAAACGACGCGACTGCCAATCTTTGTACAATCCTCACGCCTTCCACGTTTGCAATTCAGTCAAGAGAGTTCACATAAAGAGTCCGCACGCTGGAAGGACTACGTCATAATTATTTCGGCCGTTTTGAATCGCTCCGCGTCGGGGAGCGGCCTCACTGATTTTGACACACTCTGAGGGTCGCATGTTTTGAGACTGGTCGAGAGATGGTGGTCATGTGACCTTGGTGGTGGGGTTGTCATGTTGATGCGTCAGGCCATAAATATAGATGGTCATCTGCTCGGTGTAGGTGTGATTTAGGATAGTAGACCCCAAAAATATTTGCTTAGAATAAAATCTACACGTTGGGTATAATATCGCTCTTGACCGGGTGGAGCAGGAGTTGATCCACTCCTCAACCTTAGGATTGTATGGTGTTTTGAGGTTTATAGCTCGCCTCATGCACATATTCGCGTTGACTGCACGTGTGTATGGATAAAACCAGACATCCCAGGGGAGATCCGATGTCTATGTCCTTCGATTTCCATTCTCATCAAACTCAATCTTCTTCCCTGTCCTCAAACTCTCTTGCAGCGACAGGGCGATATTCAACCCTGTATACGCCGACTCCAACCTCAACGGCAACTCTCTCCCCTCCAAAATCGCCCCAGTGAACTCCTCCAACTCCGTGACAAAAGCCTCGCTATACCGATCAATCCAACTCGACGTAGCATCCTGTACAATTCCCGCCTCATTGGAAACCTGCACCCGATTCCGATTCGGCACCAAATTAATCGACACCTTGCCCTTGGATCCTATAATCTCGGTGCAATTATCGTATCCGTGCGCTGTGGTCCGTGAATGATAATAATGCGCTATCTTGCCATTCCAGAACTTAACAACGCCAATGCCGTTATCGACGTCCCCGACATCCATAAGGCCATGGTGATGGGCAATTAATCCCGTGGCCCATAGTTCTTTCGGCCTTACATCTTCCCCAAGAAAGGACAAAGTGAGATCGATATCGTGGACGGCCGTGTCGACGAAAATACCGCCACTGGCGCGGAGATAGCCAGTAGTGAAATTGGATTTGTCGAGCTTCTCGGCGCCCTGGGACCGAACCATCAACGGGTCACCTATGGCGCCTTCGTGGATCTTCTGAACGGCGGCGCGGTATTCGGCGTCGAAGCGGCGGACGAATCCTACCATTACCTTGGTACTGGGGTTTGACTCCGCGATGTTGATGAGTTGTCGGAGCTGGACGGACACATCTGACTTAACTTATTGCTAATCACGAACAGGTGGTAGAGAGCAGAGAGAATTACCTGGATAAGGTCCGTAGTGACCGGTTTCTCACACAAGACATGGACGTTCTTCTCAACAGCAGCAAGTGTATGCTGGATATGCAGCGCCGTTGGAGAGGAAATGATAACGGCGTCTAGTCCAGGAGTGGCTATCATCTCTTCAAACCGATCAAAGACTTTCACTCCTTCGATAGCCAAATGCTCATTTGCCCACTGAATCTCATGCGCAGCGACAGAGCACACGCTGTGCAGGCGGGCGCGGGGAATCCGATGCAGAACGTTTAGGGCATGGCGTTGGCCCATGCGGCCGAGGCCGACGACGCCGATATTCAGTTTTTGCGAGGAAAACATGTCGAGATATCTCGGGTTGATGATAGTTGTAAAAATTCCTTTGACTGGCTATTGTCGAGTTGTAAAAAAACAATGTCCCCTCTCGGGATTCAGTTCCCGGCAGACAAACAATCACCACGCAATGACGCTGATAGTGGGAGGAACGTCATGACCATCAAGCTGTCAAAAGAAAATGAGGGCCTTGTGTTAAATGAGTTCTGGAAGATAATCAGAGATAGAAGGTGTAATTAGGCCTCCATTTACCTGTGAAAAGCCCTTCTTCCCCCTCCCCGGGATTCATTTCCCGGACGCTGCGGAGCCCGTCCACCCGTTTTCCGGAACAAGAACAACATCACATTCAGAGTCTTTCACCATGTGGAAACTATCATTGTTACCTGGCTTCCTTCCTTCCTTTCTGAAACCCAAGTGATGACAATGCCCAGTCGACGCAAACCCCCAGGAACCATCCGCAAACATGTCACAACGGCGTGCATTCCATGTCGAGACGGAAAAGTCAAGGTAAAGCCATCGCCACCATCCCGACCACGAAACCAGTGAGACTAAGTATCAAACGTTAGTGTGACGGCGCAAGACCAATTTGTCAATACTGCTCTAGTAAAGGTCGACTATGTCGCTACAAGCAAAGCAACGACAAGCGTAAAGTGCAGGTGAGAGTGGCGGTCGGGTTGCTCGCGCGACGAGTCGATGCCTTGGCGCAGTATATCCAGGATTCAGGGCTACCTGTTCCAAAAATCGAAGAACATGATTACCTTGCTTTAAAGAGTATCATCGAAGCGCTTGAGGTGGCATGTGATGACTTGGATGCGAATCCGGAGCGCGGGAATACGGTTAAGATGGTGCTGGATGATGGGATTGATGGAGATGAAAGGGTGAAAGCGCCTTCCCTATCGGCAAGAGAGGAGCAATTAGGGAGGATACATGGAGAGACGTTGGATAATTATCCTCCGCGGCCACCGAAGACAAACAATGGAAAGGGCACCTACCTCCAGAAGGATAAGCGTATAGCACCGTTCGACAAACAACCAGCACTACCGGGAGCTCGCGAGGACCCCAGGATTCCCAACCAAGACGATGACCTAGATGAGGAAAGCGACGACGAAGTGACAGACCAGCTCTCATGCCGACTCGGAAGACTCCAATTCACCCATGACGGTCAACTACGCTATTTTGGATCCACCTCAAACCTAACATTACTGGATGCCTTGGTGGACATCACACCCCCGATCCCCGTACACAAAGATGCTTCAGAGCTGCTTGAGAATGCAGGTCTCGACAAGGAGATTGACGAGATATTTGAAAGACATCTTCTCGAGCTTTTCTTTGCCTGGCAGGATCCATGCCTTCACGTCGTCGACGCGGACACCTTCTGGCGTTCGCGAGCGCAGAGCAAATACGAAGATATAGCGACGCCTTATTACTCGCCCACATTGTTACATGCGATGTGTGCGCTCGGTGCTGCGTACGAGCCGAGATATCATCCCGATTTCGTGACATTCCCGAGGTCATTAGCTGAGTTTTTTGGCGACCGGGCCAAGATCTTATTGGAACTAGAGTTGGAAAGCCCATCTATCGCAACGATCCAAGGACTGGTGATACTGAGCAACCATGAAGCACTGTGTACGAGAGACACGAGAGGATGGCTGTATAGCGGTAGGAACCTACAGGATGGACGGGCTCTGTGGACCTCAAACTGACACAGAGAAGGAATGGCGATGCGATTGACCCTCGACCTGGGATTACATCTCGATATGGATTCATATGTTGAAAGAGGAATCATTCCATTTCAAGACGCCGAACTACGCCGTAGAATTTTCTGGGGTGTTTATTTGAATGAGCAGTAAGTGTATTGGGACGAATATTGAGCCAGTGCTGACCGATCAGATTCTGGGGATTTTATCTAGGCCGCTCTGCGCAGAGTCGCATGGATATTGTGACGGTCCGAAGACCTCCGCCACAAAACACATTGGCCACGATGAAATGGAAAGCATACCCCGATAAAAATATGAGCAGCTTGCCCGTTGCTGCGAATATGTTGTCCAAGGAATGGGTCTCACTATATGAAACAATGCTTCATTTGACAGATGTGCTGTGAGTGGCCGGTTGTGGCGTTACGTATGGAAGTCTGGAGCTAACGAAGTGATGTAGATATGGTTGTATCGAAATATCCAAGCATGCGCTGCAAGAGCTGACATTCGCCACCGTTGAGAGGCTAAAAACATGGAAAGAGACTCTCCCTGAGGAGCTAAGAATCGACCAGAACTATGGACAGGGCGTCCGGCAACCTTTACCACACACCCTTACTCTCCAGTAAGCTCTCAGCCAGTTCCGCACTATCCCAAAACTTACAGTCTATTCAGCATGCAATATCACCAATTCATGATCCACTGCCATCGCCCCTACATATCCAGACATTACATCCAACCGCAACCGCCACAGGGCCCGGGCCCCGAACACGCACGAAAAATGTGCATCGAGTCTGCCGTATCGATTGTCGAAGTCCTCAATAAGTACGAGCGAGCCTACAGTTTCCAGAAAGCCAACGTACAAATAATCTCATTCATTTTTTCCGCGGCACTTATCCTCATCTTCACTACCGTCCCTACGAAAGCTCGACCGCGCAACCAACAGCTCGTAACCCACCTGAGCACGTGTTTCCGCGCACTCGACGAAATGGGTTGTTGTTTCGAGAACGCACGACGAACGAGCACCTTCCTAGGTACTCTGCAGCGACAATGGCAAAGCCGTCGGCAAGACCGGATGACGAGGGACAGGAGTATAGTGGGAAAGCACGGGGTTGATCATGGCTCTGGTGCAATTGTGTCGCAATCAATGGGCTGGCATGTCAACGGCACACAGGGACATTTTGGTTCTCAGCCGATCTCTTTCACGAATCAAGGGATCACACCTGTCTTGGGAGCCGGAGTCGATGGCTGCGGGCCTGAGCATGAGTGTTCACCTATTGCGGATGCCCCGTCGTCGAATGTTGATTTCATGGATCCTGATTTGTGTAATGTCCTTTTGAGTGAGGGCATACCACGGGCTTTCATTTGATCCCCCGAAAAGGCCGCAATGGAATGATGCATCAGGACTGGTGCCATACAGATGATTCTGAGGAAGTCGTCTTGTTGATTTCAACAAGAATTCCTCCACACCACGTGTTTTCAAATCATACTGCTACGGCTTATAGCATGATGGGTCTGCAATAAAAGAGAGCATGGGTCATAACAGTAGGAATAGGAAAGAAACTTGAAAGAAAACGCTCACTTCAAGTTCCCCATTGCCATGGCTTTGTTGCAATGCAATCGGGACAGTTGCCCTTCTTTAATTTCTTTGTGCTTGAACTCCCGAATTGTTGAAGGCTCATAGCTATTATTTCAGACTATTACCTGAACAAAGAAAACAAGGCCATTGTTCGTGCTATACTACAGGATGGATCCGCAAGGATAGTTGTTTATCTGTTTGACGGAAGTTACCTGTATATTTCCATGGGTGCCATGTCCTGAAAACTATAAATACATTCCATTCAGCCCTGTTCATGATCCCTGTAATCACTCTCAAATATTAAGTGCGAAGGTTCCTAAATATCGACGCTTGAAAAACTCATCAACACTTTCAATACCTTCAGGACAAGCTTCCCACAAAAACCTTTTCTCTGACAGCTAAATGGACGCCAGGCTAATGGAAAAAGGAAGGGTCGCAATGGAACGAGCACGGCTCCCCAAAGACGAGACAGTTGCCCGGGTGTTTAAAATTGACCCAGAAAACCCCCGTCCCTCTGAGCAATACAATGGTCTTGTACTCAGTGACCCAGCCGCCGATTGGGAGGAATGGTACTTCTGGTGCCCCCTGCCCGAGGGCGAGTACTACGCCAAGCCGCTTCTGGAAATGATGCTGATAATGATGGGTACAGATCTCTGCTATATCATGAACCAGAAGCTGGACGAAAACCCGGAATTCGACTCGGGTATTTATTGGATCACTGACATCGTTGAGAAGGACCGGGTCGACGGACCTCCTGGCATCTTTACGAAGATACGAAATGAGATCGAGACAGTTCTGAAAGAAAATCGCTTCCCTGAGAACGAGAAACGCCGAATTAGTCTGGAGGAGAGGTACGGGTCGAAGCCGGGTGGTTCTCCTAGCCCTTTCAGTTCGGGCAACTCGACTCCAGCGGGCAGCAGAAAGCCGAGTCCTCCTCAACAGACTCAGCAGGGTTCCTGGTGTCCTCGTTGGCCATCCAAGGCCATCCCTATTGTGGACCCAAACACTGTTGGTAAGGACACCCCCAAGGGGACCCAGAGCAGTGAGACTCAGACGCCCTCCTCTGTCAGCACTCCACGACGTCCCTCCAAGGCCGTCCCAATTGTCAACCCCACCAGTGCTCCTGCGAAGGCTTCTGCTGATGTCCCACCTCCAGCTCCTGCTAAAGAGCTCCCAAATGCTCCTGCTCCCACCGCAGGTTCTACCCCTATGCACCCGCTGGAAAGTCCTATCCCCGTGCTCACCGCAGCTCCTGCCCCTGTGCACCCTATGGCGAGTGTCCCTGTCCCTATGTACCCTTTGGCAAGTGTTCCTGCTCCCATCGCAGGTCCCTATCCTACTCCGCTTATGATGAATGCACCTCGTCCTCATTACGCCAGCATGCCCGCTCCTTACCCCGGCATGCCCCCTCAATGGCCCCCTCAGGGTACTGTTTTCTACCGCTGTCCTACGTACCCCGGAAGCAGTTATGGCACCCTGCCCAATCCCTTCCCATACAATGACCCACGGTTTCACAATACGGTACCTGTGCATGTCGATGCCAGAGGTTATCCGATCCCTCAAAGATTTACTGATAACACTCCACCGCCGAGCGCACCGAGAGGGCCTCGCAACGTCTTTTTGTTCAGATAAAGGCCTTGTCTTCTTTGCTTCACGGGGTTGGTTGTTCTTCGACTGTCTCGAGTTTTGCAGAGTCTAATTGACTACAGATTGACATAAAAATGCAAGAAATCGCCTTATTCGGGGCAAAGAATTTATTACCTATTCAATATCTTACCTCGTAAAGTTGTACTATCCCATAACAGTCTAGATTGGTATCTTAAATTGTAATACCTTCAGAGACCATAAACTCCATAGCCCAACAGCTTAATCCATACTTGAAAGCATTCAAAGTATTTACCTCTTGAGCTCGTATGAACTCCGTACCCTAAATCAGATATGACTTATTCTCCCCCTTTAGCCATATGTGTCCTAGGTATTCTCCCCCTCCCTTTTCTCCATCCCTTCAATCCGTTCAATATTCTCAACATCCTCTCTCCCCAACGTCACCGTCGCAAACCGTCGCAACGCCTCCCTATTAACCGCCTCCGTCAATCTCACCCCCTCACCAATCAACTCTTCCAAGCACTCAAAGTACCTCACGAAAAACCCCGGCGTGATAGTATTCACAAACACCGCTTCCTCGTCAAATGGATTACTGAATTTATGGGGCAGCCGGATCGGGATCACGATGAAGTCGCCAGCTGAGGCGTCGATGGGTGGACGGCCGGGGGTGTGGAAGCGAATTTGGCCTTTCTTTTCCTTGCTGTTAGCGAAAAATGGCATAAAAGGTGCTTGGGGGATAGAAGGGGGCTGGGGTGGACTTGTTACAGTCACGTAGAATCCCTCGTCGTGCATCTCGTGAAAATGGAAGACTGGGCCTTCAGCGTGAGGTGGTATCAAGGATTCGATTACGGAGAGACGATATTGTGTGTTGGTGCCGTCTTCGAGGACTCGGTAGAAGTCTATAGAGATGGCTCAGTCTCTCTATGAAATGATTGTTTATTTCTCGTGATAAAAGGAGGAGCAGGGGGGGATACTGACACTCTCCAAGCCGTCGCCATGGCGTCTGATCTGGTCGGTAGTGGTGGATAGTTAGGCATCGGGCGTATTCCTGGTTTACCTTGTTCATGTTGAATGGTCACTTTGATCCAAAGAAGTGTTAATGCTAGTTGGACTTTTCGTGTGCATGGTCATCTCAGGAACATGAGAGAGATAGAAGAGATACGGCGTTCGGATTCCGGGATGCGAAACATCAAGATACATGTGATCCTTGTCTAATGGGCTACGCTACCCCATGACGGTTCTAATTAGCAAGATAGAAATGTTTTCAATTAATGAGTGAGTTTTGCGTTTTTGAATGAGGGTGTAATATTTTAAAGACGGAAATATAAAAAGAAAGCCCTTTTTAACTCTGTCTTAATTCTCAAAAAGTAGCCCTACCACCTCCTCTATCATTTTCAGTTCCTCTAGATCACCATCGTCACGAACAACCCTTCTCACGATACTAGTCGTCTCTTCCCTTCTGACCCCGTAATCAATTAACCTTCTATTTAACCCCATCTCACTCACTAAGCTCAATATCTTCTCCCCCACCTCCACCGCATCTGGATAATCATCCCCCGTCCTCACACCCCCAGCAAGATCAACCAACCTCGCAATATGCTTCACACAGGCTTTTTCTCTCGCTTTCACCTTAACCACCTCCCCCAAAGTCATACACGACGTAATTCCATGTGGAATACCATAAAATGAACCAATAGCATGCCCAAGTCGATGCGACAAACCCATCCCTCCGATACCGCTCCCTTTAAGCCCCGAACTGGCATACGCCGCCAGCATTAATCGCAGCGTTAGGTTCTCGTCCTGCACATGAGATGGTGCCACCGCTACCAAGCGCAAACACGTGAATAGCTCCCCAAAAGAAAACAATGCTAGAGCTTTCCAAGGCACTTCACTGGCAAGCGGATGATACATGCATTCTGTCGCATGGTCGAGGGCTCGGATGCCGCTGCTTAACCAGAGATCTCGGGGGGTGTGAGCTGCATAAGTGGGGTCGTAGAATATGGTCGTAATGGCCAGATTTTTATCTAGGATGCCTTTCTTGATTTTGACTTGAGCACGTTCCTGCGTTGAGTTTGGGGGGGCTTGAAGCGCCATAGTGATCGTGTATCCCCCGCCGGGGGTACATTCTGCACCACTGAGGGTCGTTGGGATGGCGATGTGCGGGAGGAAAGACCCGGTGGCGGAGTGATGTTTGTATGAGATTATCTTGGCTGCGTCGATGGGGGAGCCGCCGCCAAGAGATATCAAGAGAGTAATAGTCGGGGAGGGAATTAGGGAATATGTGGTAGAAAGAATGGTTGATAGGGCTTCTTCGATGTCCTCTATTGGGGCATGTTGCTTAATCAACGAGATGGTGCCTGCATGATGGCTTCCAAGGAGACGCTCAAGCTGTGAGATGAGGGTTGATTTGCTTAATGAGTTGTTGGTGATGATGAAGACTCTGCATAATGGTGCTAGACAAGAGAGAAGGTTCTCGGCCACGCAGCCGCTGCCATAGTAGATATGTTTGGGGAGAGCACCGGGGATCCAGTGGCCTGGGGTAATTGGGAGGATGTTGCCAGTAGGCTCTTCGCTGATGTTTGACGTCATCATTGGGTTAATGGCATGGTCCAATCTCTTCAGTAATTCATCGCAGTGCTATCAACAGCAGTTCATCTTATGGCGAAGTTCGGGTCCCGCGGAGAATAAAGATATGTAGGGTTCGGGCTCCGAAGGCCGAAGGGTAGATCGACGCCCGGCGTTTGTCACACGATACAATGAGATATTAAACAAGCTTTTCACTGTTTCACGTCGTCCATCCATCAAAATAATCTTCCCATGGACCCTATACCTTATTCAAACGTCCGTCTTTCGGCGTTTTTGTCCCGATGTCTCGGGTACAGTCGTCCACGGTAGGTTCTCCGCTCCATCTAAGCTTTGTGACACAGCCAGCATCTGCGTCAATAAATCAGGCGACGCCACATGTGTGGCGTCCATCGGGGTAGGGGGTCCAAGAGACGACGGGCCTAACGGAGAGGTCGACGATAGCCACGTGTCCCACGTCAAAGATGTGGTAGATGAAGCTCCTGGAGGCCAAGGAGGCGCTATGTCGGTTTCGATGTTGTGTCCTGTACCTTCAGGGCAATCAGAAGAGAGGCGAGGAATCTCTCCCGGGCCACACAGAGAGGTATCTTGCGGATTGTGGATCATATCAATTACAAGCAGAAGCTGATCTAGGATCCAGGATACCCTGCGATGATAATGCGTGGATGGCATTCGTGCGGTCTGTTCTGCGTAGCACGCCGATAGTCGATGGAGAAGGTCAAGATCAGTGACTTGAGCAGACTCCGGTTGCACGGGGTGACTCTGCACCAGCTCATTTATCAAAATGAAAACTCCAGGCAGTGAGAAAGCATCAAGCGCGTTGAAGAATGTGTCTGGTGAGCCGCCTAGTCCGGCATCACCCTCCACTCCTGGGACCAACTTTTGGAATTCATCGTTCAGATCTTGTCCCGTGTCCCCATCTGCCATCAGCACAAGCAAACAGGTAGCGCGGGCATCCGACCGCGCCTGCGCAGCATAAGAATCCGGCCCATGCTCGAACGCAAGGATTCGTGTCGCAAGAAATTCTAAGACTTGTGCCGATCGAGCAACAACAGATGCCATAGGGCCGTGGAACAGTCGTGTTTTATTAAGGTACTGATCCAGCTGTTTATCGAAATTCTGGGCATCAACTCCTGCAGTCGTGTGAGCTTGTGCGTAAATCTCATCCTGAATCATCGCCAACCGGAGTTGATCCCGATAAGTCAAGTCATCAGCCGTATCAGTCAGCCCCAATGTCAATTCGTTTTCAATCGAAGGAATCCATAATGGGGTGCCACGGGTAATACACAGCCGTCGGTCTCGGATGTACAACGCCTGGACTACCTTGGATTTCTCGCACATGCTCTCATCCGCGGTACTAGGCGAACTATAAAGACCCATCGTCCTGGCGACCAGGCATGCATTTCCGAATATTAGCTCTGCCCACCCGGGAGGGTCGAATTGCTGCGCGGCGACACTCTGTGCTAGTTAGTGACGTATACGTCACCCAGCCGATTGGGTGCGCTTACGAGAAGAATGAGCGTTTGTACATTCACGAGTCTCAACGTCGTCAAGAGTCGTGAGCTAACCAGTGCCGCCCGATTTGGTAGCAACGATCGAGCAAAGTCGCCAATAAGAGCGCCGGCCTGAGTTATCTCTAGACCCAGCACGATTAGCGTGATAGTTTTGAAACAGATTGCCCATACGTCATCATGCTCCTCATAAACTCGATCCAGCTGCTGACGAAGATGCTGTGGGTCGAAGACATCTGTCTGACAATCAACATGATGCAGAAAGTGCTCGATGGCTGTGGCCACGTGTGTCTTTGGAAGCAACGGGACCGTCACGTCGGCGTACGGAGGAAAAGGATCCAGTTGGTTGGCGCGCTCGCACAGCTGCTGCAGTGGTTCTGATGCTGCAGTATGACCAGCATGAAGTACCTGGATTTGGAAGTCCCTACACAAAGTTGAAAGGCATGGGAGACCTCTTCCGTGGAATGCTCGCCTCGGGGTGGGACTGTCTTCCGCCTCCGCGGCGGAGCGGAAATCAGAAGACTCGGCGAGATCAGCGGACTCCGCCCGTGCGTGGAAGCGGCTTATATGCGACTCGATCGATGTCAATCGCTGCTGCAACAGCTCAACGCTGTCACACCTGTAGGAATAAGAATGGGTCCCATCAGCCCTGAGCGATGGACGCACAGTAGTTTCAAGTGGTTCACCCGTTTCACGGGATTTTGGTAAACGCAGACCACGCCTTCCTCCCGCTCGCAGCTACGGCAATGAGGTCGTTCTCGCCCACAACGGATTTTGCGCTCACGACAGCGGGTACATGCGAGGTCAGACATATCGGAGATCTAAGAGGGAGTCAGCATTTCAGCACACCCTGCGATAGTCGTACCTGTTTATCAGTCCCCATTATCGCATCGCTCTTGGTCTTTCTAGATGAAGTCCCAACTTTGCCGTTGCCAGTAGCGGCTAGATGATGGATATGCGTAGGGCCGAGCCCTTAGAAGCAACTCGGGTGTGATTGAGAAGTTGTCGCCTCGGTGAGCTCGAAAAAGTCGAACCAAATAACTCTATAAAATCTGAATGCGCGTTCCGCGCGAAGATCGTGCATGACACTCTCTTTCACCATCACCCCTATACATCCACTGCGACCGCGCAACCACGATAATCAAGTCCCTCTATGTGTAGACAGACCCTCATGGTTGTTTCACATCCGACAATAGATATTTGTCCCACCATCCCTGGGCTAAGTCTCGTTCCTTCTGTCACGCCTCACTGTCATCCCCTATCGGCAATCTTAGCATCGCCGGAGGTTTTGCCGGGGCGGTCTTGTGCAACAACAGGGCTGTCTATAGCAATACCATTCTTGAACTATAATTGGGGGTTCATGAAAAAGTTCCTATGGATGGATGAAACGGAAATGTTGTAAGAAGGTAAGAGCGTTCCCGTTCTGAGGGGTTGTGAAATAGGATGCTATCACGTGCAGAATCCATACTCTTGCTAGTATTATCTACCACTTGCTAAATAGTATCGCGGATGTATTTTCGAGGATGTGGTTTTGGTGCCCTGTTCAATATCCTACACCCTCGGGTGCGGGACTTTTAATTCACTTTTGTCGTTCCTTGTCTATCACAATCATGGTTATTTGCAAGGATAGCATGTCAATTGTTAAAAAGGGTATATTATTTCAGTGCCTAGACCGAGCGATCAAGAGAGGACATTGAGAAAACTAAGAATAAACTTTCGTTCAGGGTATATCGTCAGTCCTCCTGGAGTGGTCTGCATTCCAAACGACTGGGATTCAGCTGAACCTCTCACTGCATGGGACATGGGTCATCCGGATCCTCGAGCCTCCGCGGATTTACCTCCTCCTCGTCCCCATTTTCCAAAGCATCCATGCGCTGCCGTACTCGCTCCATATCGGCCCCCCTTTGTGGTCCCGCTCGCAGCACTTCCTCGGCCATAATCCCCTCACGTGTTTGATTGTTGTCCCGTAGCCAGTTGACAAAGTTTGTCATCAAATGTCGACGTAGTGGGTCCTCTCCTCTTGTGGAAGATCGAGGCTCGCTTCGTGGCTGGGAGGGTAGTTCCGGGGCAGTCCCGTTCATCTTCGCTTTGACGTAGTCAAGTGTCTGTCGCAGTAAAAGGTTTCTAATTCCGTTCTGTATTCTCCAGTCGCTGATTGTCAGTGGGACCGTCGTGCCAGCGTAGACTTGATTGGGATGATCAAGGGCCAGAGGCCAGAGGTCCTCTAGCAGGGCTGATTGTGACGAGAGCATGGAGAATAAGTCGCCCCAGACCAAGCTGCCCAGGATTCGCATCTGACCGTGGTAGCCTGGTGATTCCTCGGGGCGGTCGCGAAGTTCCTTGGGGTCGTAGTCTGCGTCGACGGCTAACACAAAGCCCGTAAAGTCGCCGCGCAGAGGCAGGGCTGTTGCCACGGCGTAGTCTTTTGTTGTGTAAGACCCGAAGCTGATATCCTCCACGGAGAGAAACACATGCTCGTTAACTTTGACTTTGTCCTTGAAAGAGGAGAGTGCGTGTTCATTGAAATGTCTTTGTCCGTTAGCCACAGCTTCATCACATCCTACATGGTAAACTTACCTTCTCGCCGCCGTCACGTCTCCCTCCGCAATGCCTAACTCTTTCCCATCAAACCAATGCAACTTCAAATACGGTTTGATGAAGCTACTTCCCGTATGTCCCCGTCCCCAATCATCCACATGGGCCTGGAACTTCTGGAGAAACTGGTTCCATTCCTTGTCTGTCTGTCCGTACGTGATGCGATAAATCACCAGCCCATCACTCTCATGCAGCGGCTCCGGCTTTTTCTCTAGTTTCTGCAACGCGCTTGTGATCCACGGCTCTTTTGGCATTGTGACAGCCTCGCCTCGAATCTCCCGCCTCAATTGATTCTGACAATCGATCTGGTCCATTGTCGTCTGATGTAACGAGGCGGGCGAAGCTATGCCCCCAGGAGCCCGGGTCCCATCCGACATCCTTTGAAACATCAACTCTCGTGACATGAGCTTCAGCCGCGGCCCATACCACCTACTTCGTTCCCCCAACGTTCCCTGCGCACCTGTCGGCAAATTTCCATTCCACCCCTTATACCCCTGCATTGGCATGCAGATCGTATAGTCAGCCACCGCCGCTATTTCATTTAGCATGTGCACTCGATCCGTGGCTTTCCACTGGATCCGATCGACAACCTCTTCATTCATCGGCTGATGTAACTGCAGCGTCCGAAGCAGTGGCGTGCGCAGCGCTTCAATGTGTAGTATGACCCAGCGATGCGCTCTCCCTGTCATGACTTCATACTTGGCGTTCATGTATTCCGTCCAAAGCTTCGTGATACTGACATTTTCTTTTCCCATTGCCGCTCTGTTCCGGTTCACCAAGACATCGGCCTCCGCCCAATGGTCCCAGATCAGATTGAACGTGTCGCGCAGGTTTGTCGCCACGCGCTGTTGATTCAGATACTCGAAAACAGCCACGACAGCAGAAACGTGCTGCGCCGCGACATCGAAGTTTTCTTCCCTGTGAAGTCCCTTTTCTTGCCATCGCTGCTCCGACATCGGGATAATACCTTCCCAGAGTCGCGACTTCAGCGAGTGGATATTCTTGCCAACGAGACACAAACGGGACGAGTCTTCGAAAGAGCCGATTCTCTGCGTGACGCGGTCAATAATGGACATTGAATTATGGTTGCCACCGGTGTGGTCGCTTGTTGGCGGCGGGCCATGAATGAACGGGACATCTTCGGCGATGAGTTTCGGAAGGGTAGTCTGTTTGCCGGTCGGGAGTGTTCCCCAGAGACAGAACTCGAGGAAATGCGCGATCGTTTGGGGTTCGAGGAGTCGATCGACTATATTTGACATTGATCAGCGCTGTTAAATCCCCATGCGATCGGATGCGATTTCATACCGATTTCTAAATCCTGGTCCTTCCGATGCGCGTCTGTGACCACACTCCCCTTCTGAATCTTTGAAACATCAATAAACGAGTATCGACTCATCCTGACGATCTGAAACTGTCAATCGGCAGGATGCGCCGGGGAAAAAAAATGCGCGCCAGGGTTGATTTTATTCTCGCGCCGGCCTGGCCTGTTTGCCTAAACTAGGCCGACTAGCCAGGCAGACAGGCATCCGCCGGATCGCCAGAGTTCGGTCTGCTACCGTGAATGGTCTAGAGCATAGGCTAGTTGGGTGATGGCGATGGATTGGAAATTGAGATTCCTATCGAAAGGGCTGATTCTGGTTCCTGGCTGGTCGGACTGGGACCGGACCATGTTTAGCGGGTGAGACTAGCGATTTTATCCATTTGTGAACTTAGGTGAGTTGGGGGCAGAGTTGTAAGATCGGTTTTCGGTTAAGACGGAAGTTGGAGACATTATAAGAATCCAGAGAAAAGTACCTGTTGAGTTGCGCAAGAGAACGGTCAAGGACAGGAAATTGCTCTACATTGGGAGAATCCAGCCAAAACTGGTCCGTGAAGCAATCAATTGATTGTCCTGGGCCCCAAGGAAGAGGAGGAAAAGAAATTGAGCGCAAAAAGTTCAGCCGATAAGGCGATAAGGCAGTAAGGCAGTAAGGCAGCAAGTCTGCAGGTCGTGCTCCGACATCTTGTACTAAGTCTGGTTGGTCAATGACATTTCATCCGTGGCTATTTTTCTCAAATAATTCCGATAAGGCTCATGTGGTCTGATAATGCTCGCCTACTTGGGCCTTATTCGCTGCCTACTTGTTGTCTCAACCACACGAAGATTGGAGGTATATAGTTCTGTCCCCGTTATTGTTCTGCTCGTTCTGGACACCAAGGTTCCGTCTATGCAGACGTGCGGATGAAGTAGGCTCCTATAGATATTGAGATAAATATACTGAACTACTCAAGAAATGAATCTCAATCAAGAAGATAATTGCGATGGAAGAAGGAAAACTGTAATATGGCCTTGAAGGGGCAAGCAAAAGGCGAATGATTGACACATTTCCTCAGGCACCGTGAGTCTAACACTCATTCTGTGTTGAATCGAGTGTGGTCAGTACTACTAGGTGTTCTTCATACTTAGAGTGCTATAGCGTTTTGCCGCATCTCCAAACCCATATCCTACTTTAAAACCTTCCTCATAAACGTCTCCCTCAACCAATACGTCCCCCCATTCACCAACTCCTTCTCATACCTCGGCTCCTCCTTCCACGCCACATACCCCTTCTGCTCATACCACTCCTGAATACTCCCAGGCGGCATCTCATCTCCAATTCTCTCCCAGAGACCCCGTCCCTCTGGTCCCTCTTCATACATATACCGTTTACTCAGTGCCGTCAACGCAATGACCCGACAATTCGGTTCGCGAACCGCCAATTCCTCGACCAGAGCCAGAGCGTGCGCCCCGACCCGCAGGGACCGGTATTCAGGAAGTACGAAGAAGGTCTGGATGGCGAGAATGGATTTATCAGCGCGCGAGAGTTCCGGGTCTGGTGGGTCGCTGTAGGCGTCGAGGGAGATGTGGCCGATGCGGATTGTGGGGGGATTTTCGATGGTATCAGAGTCGGAGTCGGAGTTGAGATTGGCTTTGGGATTGGGATTGGGAATGATAATCCAGAAGAAACTTTTCAGGCCTTCGTTTTGTTTGAGTTTCCATTTCTCGATCTTCGAGGGTTCGTGGTCCCAGCCGCAGACGAGGCGTTGGCGCTCCATTTCGCTGAATTGGTCGGGCTCATTGAGATTGATGGGTTCGAGGCGGCATTGCGATGCCAGAAATGGATTTGCCATGTTGGTTGTTCAGATGAGAAGTGGATTATTAGAAGGCTTAATGTGTTTGGTTTAGGTATGGCGTTGAGGTAAACAATTAGTAGTGTTTGTCGTAGGCGGTGTGTCTGATTGGTTGAGCAGTCTGTCGTTGACAAGCAATGTGCAGGATAATAACAGGTTATATACACAGAGGGGAACCCTTGAAAGTAAGTGGATGTCGTGATGGCGTATTTGCGTATTTCCGTAGGCCGAAGCTGGCCGAAGGATTCTTAGTGCGACAGATGGCAGGGATTGTATGAGTCAACTGCAAGCCCGGGTTTCATAATCGCATACTTGAATGGACAGAATATTATCTTCGAGGAATATGGCTGAAGGAATTGGATTATCATGAAGGGTTTTATTTGGTTGGTTAGAAGGGAGCGGGGAAAGGGCAGTCGATTGTTGGATCCATGGACCTGTGGGGGGTGTACTGAGTAATGCTAGTTAACAACCGTCTATTCATATTCCCTATTGAACTCTCGATTAATAAGACAAATGACATGAATACCAGAAACTGACCGTCACCCAGATAAGGCCAACTACTCCCATCAATCAGAACCCCTCGAAACGAACAGTCTTTCTCTTCGAGCTCTTCAATGTCCTCGGAATCTTCGGCAGACAATCCCATAGAATCATAATCGCACCCGACAATCCCAGTATAAACGGCTGAAGAAACTTAATCTTTTCAGTATCAGCAATGGCACCGACCGAGAAAGACAAAACCGATGATCCCACACTGCTGAAACCCGTCGTGACTCCAATGACCGTCACATGTAGGTCTTCAGGAAGCAACTTCACGCACGCATAAACCACAGCGGGAAACAAAGGACCAAGGAAGAAATCCTGCATTGCCACGCCGACCGCGGAAACGTAGAAATTGGGAACAAGATAGACGACGAGACAAAAGACAATCTGGAGAGTGATGTAGATCTTGGACGTTGTTAGCATACAGGGCTGTTATGCCACGGCAAGACTACACGTGAAAAAGCAACCAACGAAAAATGTGCATACAAGGATTGCGATCTTCTCTCCAATCAAGGGCGTGACGAATCCAAGCACGAGCCTCCAAACTGATAGACCTAGCCAGAACCCGGTGGCTGTCATGCCGCTGACATACTCAGCAGCATTCCGGACGTCCTTCATAAAGGTCGTGACCCATCCTCCTATGGCGACCTCGATACCCACATAAAAGAGAAAGAACATTGAGCAAAGCCAAGTAACCCGAGCGAAGGGAGGTTGGAACATTGCCTTTCTCGTACCGCCACTACTCCCGGTTTTCTCTGACTGTCCGGGTGCCCGGTATTGCGAGAGCTCGCCTTTCATGTCCCAGAAAGCGGCGAGAGAGGTGATTAACTCGACGGCCGAAAATGCGCTCTAGAATAACACTCGATTAGAACTCAATTCTAGTTGCGTGAGTGGGCTGGATCATACCATCACATAGTAAAAATAATACCATGGGTGGCCAGCCTGTGCAACAAGCGAACTTATAATTAAAGGGCCAAAGACAGCTCCTAGACCGAAAAAGGCGTGCAAGATACCCAGAATCTGGCTGGCATTATCCATGCCGCCAACCCAGGCATTCCAGGCTGAATCCGAAAGACCATTAGTCATACCCGCAAAGGTCAGGGCAACGACAAGGGCATGGTAGGGCGGATGAAAGGAATTGATAATGTAGGCGAGCAGATGGCACAGCGGGCATATCAACGCCACCCCCCGACGGCCCATTGTCGTGTAGATCCTGCCGTCGATCACGCCGGCAATGGCATAACCAACTAACGGGGACAGGAAAATAACCGAGACAACACAACCGTGTAGGATAGCTTGTAGTAGCTTTGGAGCTGTAGAGTGTTAGGATAGCAATTGTAGACAAAGCAGCTGACCTACATAAGGAAGTAATGGCTATATTGTTGTCAGTATTAGCATGTTGGAGTCCAAAGAATGACGGAGAATGTACTCACACCAGATGCCGAGTCATTGGCCCCAATTACAAAGAAACTCCAGATCGTTGCCAGGGTCTTCCATATGTTCGATCGCGGCTTGTTCCAATTTTGGTGACCGCCATTGGCATTGTGCGGCGCGACTGACCACGTCGGACGTGCAATAAACAGTCGAGAACGAGAAATCTCATCTGATTCGTCATTAATTGGCGGTTCCTCGACTTCAAAGTTAGCCGCCATTCCTGGCTTTCGCTTTCCAACTGGTTTTGTTTCTGCATTCATGATGCCGAAACTCCGGTAGGGTTGGTCCTGGGGAAGTACAGGATTCTTCTGTCGAGTTTGAGCAGTTCCTCACTGAGAGAAAAGATGATGAAAACTGAACAATTGTCTAACGAGCCCCCTAGGACAACATAATGCCGGGGCTCTTCTCCTGAATCTGGCGGCCATGACAATTTCGGGGCCATGTGCTGATAGTTCCACCTTGGTGCAGGTAAAACAAGCCTTGAGTAGGCGGTCACATTACAGACTTATTCAAAATTTCATACCTGTAGCCCTAGCTATCCTCTGAGTTTGCCTTGGCAAGAAGGTGGGCTCAGCTTGATATAAGCCAGTACTGCTAGTAGTACTAGCGAGGTATGCTAATAGTCCACATCCTCAGAACCTCAATATTCTAATGGTCGGCAGCTGTAGCCAGGTGTCTCAGTTCCACTGTTATAGTCTATGCTGTGTGTCTACCGGGGTATTATCGGGGAAAACTGTTTATTATGGAAGAAAGAAAGTGACACCTCTAGAAGAAGCAGGAGAGTTGCCAAATTCCCTATTGCGGCAGGTGAAACAGCTGCCTGAGATGTGAATCTCTGTAATCGTTGCACTTCCCATTGGCCGAAGAAGAGGGGTGGGGCCCGCTGAGCGAGTTGCCTGTTTGGGGAAGTCACGCAGCGCTTAAAAGGGTCCATGGAGAAGGACAAGTTCACCGTACGTCTTCCCCCCTTTGCTGAACTTGCGGTCGATACTCATCTGCCTCTCTCACGTCTTTTAAAATGAGTATCATTGCTGTTGCAGGAGGCACGGGAAGTGTGGGACGAACAATCGTCGAGGCGTTGACTGCTACGGCTAAACACAGCGTGATTGTCCTCTCACGCACTGTATGTCTTGGAGCTGGTGACCTAGCTGAGTTATATATGGGCAATATTGATATTGTATAGCCGAGACCCAGCACCAAAGATGTCACTTATCTCGAAGTGAACTATCAAGATGTTGAAGCGACCGCTGCCACCCTGGAGTCCGCCAATATTGACACGGTGATCTGCGCAATCAGCATGCTGTCTGAGGAGTCGAGTCAAACCCAAAACAAGCTGATCGACGCATCGGCCAGGTCAAACGCGACAAGGCGCTTTGTGGTCAGCTCATTCGACATCTACTTCAAGGAAGAGTATGTTCTTGCATGATTGATGTCAGACATACAGTATCACAAGACTAATGACAGCAGACACATTGGAACTGTCCCCGCCGCAAAATGGCAATTCGACGCCCTCAATGCCTTGGCGAAAACAGGTTTAGAGTACACTCGCGTTGTCAACGGTTTTTTCCTGGACTACTACGGCATGCCTTATTGGCCTACCCATCTGAAACCATGGACCAACTCGGTCTCAGTAGCGGGCAAATGGGCCGTCATTCCAGGTGATGGAACATCCAAGGGAAGCTTCATCACGTCACAGGATATGGCGAGATTTGTAGCTCGAATGATGGATTTGCCAAAGTGGAAATCGCTCACGGCAATCGTGGGAGAGGAACTTACGTTTTTGCAGATTACTGAGATAGCGGAGAGAGTGCGTGGTAGGTGACGCTGTTTTTTTTTAGAAAAGATGACGTATGTTGATGGATGAATAGGTGAGAAATTCCGCGTTATCTTTGAGAGCATGGATAATATTGCAAACGGCAAGATTTCATTCCCGGAGTTCCCAGAAGCAGACTATGGGTTTTCAGACGAACAATGGGAAACCGCACTCGCAGGCATCCATTACCTAGCCGGGATGGATGTGGCTTTGGTGAAGACCGATGATCCTCTCAATGATCACTTTCCGGAGCTCAAGCTGACAACCATCTCGGAAGTTATTGAGTCATCCTGGACGGGTAGATGAGTCGTTCCATATACCAAGATTGTTATGTAGTTACGCCAGATTTACGAAGGATCTCCTACCGTTTAGGCCTTTATTCAACTTAAACGACCTCTTTAGTTAGTTCCAGTAAGACTAATTGTAAAGGTCTACCTGATGACTGGTAGAAAATCGAGTTCCAAGTTTCTGACGCTTTGAAGATTCAAGGTTAGGGCGATTTAACATGCAGTCCAGTGCACTATCATTCAATGGCCCAAGGATGTTAGGCCTTCACTCTCCATTCAGGATTCTTCACCCTCTATTCAGGATTCTTCACCCTCTAGTATTGTTCGAGTTAAGGGAATGTCAAGAAAGATTACTGTAGAAGTTACTGTGGTATGTAGTGAGTCCCAAGCCAAACTGTCACTCCAATTCCTTCTTTATACAATCCAAGATCCTTGATAAAGCTTCCAGCAAATACATTACTTTCCTTCACAGAAACAGCAAGACAGCAAAAGCCTCTGAACAAATATATTTCCTCCCCAAGATAACCAGCTCATGCTAGACAGTCCCATCAGTTCAATCTCCTGAACATTCTACCAAATCCTTCATCATCCAAGATCCAGCATAGGCTTTTCAACAAATTCGTCCCCAAATAACCATTCCAAGCCATATGATCTCTATAATCTCTTCCTGATAATATCTCCAAATGACCATTTAGCCAAGACATAAGAACCAATCTAAACCGAACGATATGAGCCCTTAATTCTCTCCAAAACCAAAATCAAGCCCCATCTCTTCATTGTCATACTCTGCCGGCAAAAGCCCACATTCTCTGATATTTGCTTCCGCAAGGTCCTGCAACTCGTTCAAATAGAACTCAAAAACTTCCGTCGGATCCCGACCCGGCACTAACGCATTCCCGAAAAGCTCTCCCCGGTTCAAACAAATCTTTTTTTCTCGTCGTCCTGAGAGCGGTTTTGGAAATATCGACTGTGAAAATCAACTGTTAGCTTTTTCTTTTGTCCATGAAGATAAATGGGTCATTCTCGCCATTCGCCATCAGCTCCGGGGAGAAACGAGGGAGAAGGGAGAAGGGAATAGGAAAGAAATAAAAATACCTCAATCTGCACCAACTGCATCCCTTTCCTGTAAAATTCCACCGCACCATCCACTTCAATTTGATCTACCTGGGGTCTATAAACCATTATAGCCCCTTCAACTCGATTGTCAAGATGAAGCGTCCACTGAACAAGGATAACGACTTGCACGTTCGGATAGCTGCCGTAACCCCAGAGATCCACGTCGTTGTACATCCGGTCTATACTCTCCTTCCAGCCGATTTCGAAAACAATGCGCGGCATTTTCTGGTCGGGTGTGCGTACTTGGATAGCGGGTTGTTTGGCGGATAGGTAGTATGGGTAGGTGAAGCCGTCGGTCCCTACGGATTGTTAGTCACGTTCTCTATAGCATTTCCCGGCAAGCCTGTAGGGATGAGAAAAGCGAAAAAGAGAGGGGGAAGGGAACTGGGAGAACTTACATTCCCCTTCAAGAATCATTAACTGTCGAAACTCGGAGACGGTCAATTTTCCGTGAAGGTACAACCCCCTGATCACTCTGCTGAACCATTCTCCGATCGTGTCGGATATGCTCGTTTGTTTGCTGATTTCAAATCGCTGCGTCAATGAGTCGTAATGGACATGGGTCTTCATATTGTCTATATCGTTGATGTCGTTGGCTATTGCACATGCCATCTGGTATCCCATGTCTGGTTTTATAGGGCCGTAAACTATTGTGTCGACATCACTTTCTGACGCATCGAGGACGTCCTGCTTAATTGTTTGATAGACTTCCTCGTAGGTTGGAGTTCCCTCGCTGCTAGCGGGGCAGGTGAGGGGGGCAATGTTGTAGCTGTCATCAGAGATATGTCCACTCTTGGGGGACTCGATGTTGAGGCTCCCATATGGGGAGAACCCATTCTCTGGGGACGGGTTGTACATGCCCTCATCCTGGATGAACCCGTTCTCCGGGGGTAGATAGTAGATATTCTGATCCGGAATGACTCCGTTCTCAATGGTCTCATTGACAAGTTTCTCATACGGGATGGTGGAGGCGATATCGAAGGACCCCTTGCTGGTGTTCTCAAATGGGATGGACCCATTTTCGGGAGACTGAGTATTTTCTTCCTCATGTATGAAGGTCTCGTTGTTGACAGATCTGCTTTTAACAGATCGGTTGTCCAAGGTTGCTGAGCTGTGGGTGTAGACCGAGGCAGGAGGAGTGGCTTCAGGCTGGGGAGGACTCGCGAGATGCCTGTATTCCTCCGGAATGGGGTCCTTGTCGCTCATCTCGCTAGGATGCCATCGGCCAGTATAGAAATCCACGTGCCCGAGAGGGTGGGAATCTGCAGTGTTGCTCGTCATTTTGATATGAATATTTGTGGTTGGATCTGAGAAAAGCGAATATTGTGAATATGTGTAAGTGTTGTAGGCATCTCGTAGATAGAAGAAAAGGGAAGAAGATTTTATATTTGCGCAAGGCAGCAGCGCAGGAGTCATAGTGAAGAGTCATTGCTAAATGAGGTCACATAATCACATTTCATATGCTATTGTTGTCCACCTGCCTGTGTTAAACTTTATGACACTATTCAAATCCTCGGTTCAATCAAGGCACAATTACCTGCCTGATCGTGTAAGCCTGAGGCTAACACCCCATATCCAGGATGACAATACCGCTCATCATCCTCGACTGGACGCAACAATCCCCTCAGCCACCTGCACCAACGACTCCCCAACCACATGCATCTCCCCAAAGAGCTGAGGGATCACCTCACCCTCCAGGGCCGTACAATACGCCGCCTTAAACCTATCGCAACATCAGCCATCATTCTAATGATAGAAAGGGAAATGGAAAGAGATCTCAAAACTTACCCAACCCTCCTCGCAGCCGAGACATCCCACGCATGCGCCGCCGCAAACCAGACCTCTCCATGCTCTCCCGCATCCTTGCTCAACCTCTCCCACAACGGCCCATAAGCCCTCAAATCCGGCTTCCCAACGCCCGCCTCATCACAACTAAGCAGCTTCCCTTTCGGAATGCCAATTCCGCCATCATCTAAATTAGCCCGCACGCGATCCAGCCCGCCAGCTGTGAGTCCCCACACGGTGAACCCAGCGTCATGCAGCAATCGTACACACTCCTTGGCACCCTCTCTTGCTTCTAGCTCCCTATGCGCACTCAGCAAGATCTCTAGATCTTCCTGGGACGCGAATTCCCTCGGTGATGAGATTCCAGCGATATGAAGAGTCCTGTAGAAGAGGTTCTCGAAGCAGATGTCGAAGGGGACGTAGGCGTTTGCGATGCTAAGGTAGGCGTACTCCCGCTCGGCAACTTCGAACCATGTTGCGACGAGATGGGTCGGTGTGATATTTCTGGAGAGGAGTTTGGGACCGAGACGTGAGTTTAGGGCCGAGATAAGATTGTCGTAGGTGATTAGGGTGCCGACGATGTCGAAGACAATGTGTCTGGGGGGCATTTTCTTTCCTGGTTGGCGGTTGGTTTATAGTACTTTATTTTGGTTCTTTGGTTTGTCTAGTGGGAAGAGAAAAGAGGAAGGGGCTAGGTACGATTGTAATACGCGTGTAGTTATGTATAGGAGATGAGCTAGGGAGACGATGTTTGTAGGTTGGAATTTGGGTACAATGTGACCTTGAGGAAAGAGTTGCGGGAAAGATAAGGGAAGTTATACAGCTCGTGGCTGAGAGGATCTACTAAATTACTATCTACTACCTCATTGATCAGTGCGCATGGGGTTGCGTGCGGGGTATCTATACGACATGGTGAGCTAAGTGTGTCATAGTACGAATGATTGATCAGCAAAAATATCAAACGACGGTGTTCTATTTAATTTAATTGGCGAGATGAGCGATTACAATCAAGGGGTTGGACTCGTCTGGTCAATCTCTGACAGATGAGGAAATAGATAAACAGCAAGGGCGTGGCATGTTGATCAATAAGAAACTGATGCTATGGAAGATCCTCCGATATAGGGGACCAGGAACCCAGCAATGACGTACACTGTGAGTCTCTGGATCGAATGTTATGGCGGAAAGAAACCAAGGAACCAGCAATGAGTCAGACGGAATGGTATTGCCGCTAGTAGGTAAACATGATGGGTTTAGGATGTATACTTCCGATGGCTTGGCGTCGACCAGAAGGAAAATGTGGCTCGGTAAGCCGAGTCAGGGTGTTGAGAAAAGGTCATGCGAAGAAAGCTACTTGCAGAATCGAGACTTATAGTTGATGCCAGTGAAATTTGTGCGCGAAAAATCAGAGAGTATATCTCCACAAGTCAAAAAATGAATATTCACATTGCTTATGACAATGTAACTAGTTTTCACAGAGTTTCACAGAGGAAACGGTTATTAGACAGGCTTTCTAGCAGAGCATGCCATCCTTGATGTCTCCCGTCCACAGTCAGACACAACAGATCGGCATGATTGGGTGAGGGCAAAGAGATTAAAAAAACAGGTGGGGAATTGAACTGAAAGGATGGAAGAAGGTGAAGGTGAAAGGTAGAGAAAAAAAAAAAAAAAAAAAAAAAAATTAAAGAAAGAAGAACCCTGGACGCATCCCAATGCTAAAGAAAGGAAGGAAAGAATGAGAAAGAGAGAATGCACGGAAACACCCCAACAAGTGGCCATACACATGATCACCGCCTCCAACTCGGTTCAAGGGAAAGAGAAGATCGATCGATCGTCAACATGACTTCGTCCCAATGTACATAATCGTTATCCACTTCTCCAGTGTCGTCATGATTAGACATTCTTGTACAGCAGCAGCGGCTCGCCGACGTTCTCGATCTCGGGGATCGTGCACTTCAGGTCGAAGGCTTTCGCCAAGACAATTTTGAAGATCTAGGCCGGTCAGTATAGTCCCATCAATACGAAGCGGAAACACAAACCTTTTGCACGTTGATCGAGTGGCTGGTACTGCTGAAGATCAAGCTAGCCTTCATAGCCCGGGCAAACCGCCTCGCCTGCACCTAGTTAGCGGGCGCTCAAGATCTGTGTCGACCCACATACCTGAATGGAAATCTCCTCCTGGTCCTCGCGCGGGAAGTTGACGAAATGATCGTACTTCGTGCCAATCAGGAAAGGAATGGCAGTCTTGTTGAATCCTCGGCCCTGGCGGTACCACTCTTTGATCGAGTTCAACGTGCTCTTGCGGGTGAGGTCGAACATGAACAAGATGGCCACGGCGTCATTGCACACCAGCGGAAGCATGTTGACAAATTCACGCTGACCACCAAGATCCCAGATCGAAAAGGTGATCTCCGTATTGCGGATGGAAATCGTCTTCTCCATGAAGTTGACGCCTGACCGGTCAGCATTCTTGCCCATTCGCCCGGAATCAAAAGCCCGACGTACCCAGCGTTTGAATGTAATCCTCATCCCAGCTTCCCTCCACGTATTTGACCATCAGACTCGTCTTGCCGATCTGCGCATCGCCCACCATTCCGACCTTAATCACCACGCTGTTCTTCGATTGCTGCGACTGCTTCTGGCCCACCTCCTGGGTAAGTTGTGAGTTGCCGGGTCGGTCATGGTTCTGGGACAATCCCGAGCTCGGTCGCGACGACGAAGGGGGCAGGGGCTGATGGGTCAACGTGGGCGACAGGGTCGGACGAGCTCGATCGCCATCCACCGACTGGACATCCCGGCTGGGCGAGTTGAATTCGTAGGTATGGGAGGAATAGTTGGCTCGCGAGTCGCTGCTGTAGCCGTTGTTGTTGTAGGCCGACGTGCTGACCATCTCGTCCGGAGCGACCAGGTCGGTGGCGTGGGTGGGCATTTCGAAGGCAGGCTGATTCTCGTGGGGCAGCTCCGCACCGTCCGAAGGGCCGACAGGAGGGATATGCGTCGGATCCATGCTGGCGGTGGTCGAGCGATATGTTCAAAAGCAGGGTAAAGAAAGAATGTTCGATCGGAGCCTAATCATGGAGAATGTAAACATGGTCAGCTCCCGGCGGTACAGTGGAGCGGGGGGGAAGGCCGAACCAACCGAGATTCAGTATTTGGATATCACAGCGACGGCTCACCAGAGCTCATCAACAGGTGAAGAACAATTCACGATTAAGGAAAGTCGGGGAATGTTAGAAACTAGACATATGGGGAGTTAGCGTGGTCTGCAGGAAAAAAACCCGGACGGAAACATCCACGGTCGCTTTAGCCGCCGAGTCGGACTTGTTGAGGGGGGGGAAGCAGGAGGAAAGGAAGTTTGTTTGTATGCACCTCTGCAGGAAAAACGATGTGACATGTGACGCCAGCAGCGCCACGGGAGGAGAAAAAGACGGAGGAGGGGCAGATAAGCCACTCAAAAAGAAGACAGGCAAGACGGGAAAAGAGACAGAGCAGTCCTCCAGCCGTTGCAGGGACGAAGCAGACCGGAAGGGAAAGGGAAAGCCGCAGAATCGAGCTGAACGAGCACAGCCCCTGGACCGGTGCCTGAGGTCAACAACTTCCCAGGATTTGCCCGATCGCCCCGATGCCCCATTGGGTTTAGTGCCGACCTGCCCGCCGTCCCTCGGAAAAAAGAGAGAGAAAAAAAAAAAAAAAAAAAAAAAAAAGCGGCAACCCTAAAGAAAGTCATTGATTTTCTCGCCGAGCAACTTCTTTCCTTCCCCGTCTTTCTGCCGCACGACTGGCTCGTCGACAGCACCCGGAAATCCCTCCTCTCACCTTTCACATCATCATTCATCATGTCTAAACGTTCCGCCGACGTTTCCGACGAGCAATCCGCCGCTCTGAAGGCTGGCGACCGCCCCGTCACCCAGGCCCCTCCGGACGAAGTGGGGGAGTTCGAGGACGAGTTCGAGGATGAATTCGAGAGCGAAGATGAGATCCTGGAGGCCGGTGTCGACGGGCGACCCGATGCCGAGCTGGAGGAGGAACAGAAGGGTACGTCCTAACGTCTATACGGCTGTCTTGCGATTGCTAATGCCGATGCGACCGGCTCAGAGGCCATGGAGGTCGACCAGCAGACATTCATCCCCGGAAGAACGAAACTGGCCCCCGGAGAGGTCCTCTCGCCCGATCCCTCGACATACGATATGCTACACACCCTCAGCACCCCCTGGCCCTGTCTGTCGTTCGACATCGTGCGCGATTCCCTAGGCGACAACCGAAAGACCTACCCGGGCACGGTCTACGCGGTCGCCGGCACCCAGGCCGACGGCGGCCGGGCAAAGGAGAACGAGCTGATGGTGCTGAAGATGAGCGGACTGAGCAAGATGGAGAAGGAGAACGAAACCGACTCCGAGAGTGACGACGATGACGACGTGGGCGAGCCCATCCTCGAGTCCAAGAGTATCCCGCTGGGCTCCACGACGAACCGCATTCGGGCGCACCAGACCCCGTCGCAGTCGGGTGACTACAACAAGCCGCCTCAGACCCTCACCGCCACCATGCTGGAGAACTCACAGGTCGTGATCCACGACGTCACCCAACATCTTGCCAGCTTCGACGTCCCTGGCACCGTGATACCTCCCTCCGCATCCAAGCCGCTCTCGACCCTTCGCATGCACAAGTCGGAGGGATACGCGCTGGACTGGTCGCCGCTGCAGCCCCTTGGCAAGCTCCTGACGGGTGACAACGACGGATTGATCTACGCGACGACGCGCACTGAAGGAGGCGGCTGGGTGACGGATACTCGGCCATTCACCGGTCACACGTCCTCCATCGAGGAGCTGCAGTGGTCGCCGAACGAGAAAAACGTTTTCGCGTCTGCCAGCAGTGACGGCAGCGTCAAGGTGTGGGACGTGCGATCCAAGTCCCGCAAGCCCGCGGTGGACGTGCAGGTGTCGAACACCGATGTCAACGTGATGACCTGGTCCAACCAGACATTCCATCTGCTGGCCACCGGTGCCGACGACGGACAATGGGCTGTGTGGGATCTGCGACACTGGAAGCCATCCGCCCCGTCGACCCAGAGCACGGCGTCTCCCGTCGCCGCGTTCGACTTCCACCGCGAACCCGTCACGAGTATCGAGTGGCACCCGACGGATGACAGTGTTGTTGCCGTGGGATCCGCGGACAACACGGTCACTCTGTGGGATTTGGCTGTCGAATTGGATGAGGAAGAGAGCCGGGAAGCCGGCATGTCGGAGGTGCCGCCGCAGCTGCTGTTTGTGCACTACACCGAATCGGTCAAGGAAGTGCACTGGCAAGCGCAGATGCCTGGTACCGTCATGGCAACTGGCGGGTCTGGATTTGGGTATGTTCCCTTTTTATTATTCCTATTAATGAACCATGCTAACCTATTCTACAGCATCTTCAAGACAATTAGCGTTTAGATAAAAGCATATTTTGAATGAAGATAATGATCACACTAGAGTAATCCCGGATTATTGGGGAAAAATGAATTCAATATTTCAAACTTGAAACCTATTTCCTCATCCTAATATCTGGAATTTTGACGCCGTCTCGCAGTCATACGAAGGACCCAGCAATATCTAGGAGCAACAAGCCATTCACGCAACTTTATATAACTCTTACTGTACTTGAAGTTCACGCTGTTCACCCCATCGCTACACCTATACAACTCGTCCCAACTCCCTCTACTATCTGAATCCTACATCCACCACTTACTCTTCCACTCAATCGTTCCCACTCGACACAAGGACCAACTCAACAACAACAATCTCCCTCCCCCCAACCCCCTCCCTCCTCACCCCGTCCACCTGAAACTTCGTCCCCGGCAAAAACGTATACTCAATCTGCCCATCGACCGCCAACGGCGTAACAAGACTCATCCCTTCCCACACCGCAGATTCACTACCCGGCTTTGCCACCAACAACAAGCCATTGCTATACCCCATAGCCGTGTCTTTACTATCCGTGAAACTCATGAACGCCTTCGTCGTCAAAATCTTCCCCTGAACCACATACTCCCTCAGAAAGACATCCACGTCAATCCGTAAGGGCTCCCCGGGATTCACGGTGCATGTACATTCCCGGAACCCGATCCCGAAATGATTTAGCGATAGTTGTCGCATGTCAGGTTGGCCGCTGTACACGACGGGTCGTTTATAAACTGACATCCGCGGGAGAGAAGATACAGCTAACCCCATGATTCGGTTCTGGATGTCGCTGAGCCGGTGCACCTGCGGAGCTACTTTGTTGAGTTGGGTCGTGACTTCGGCGAGCGAGGATGCGGGTTTCATCATGAAGGAGTTCATGTAGGCTTTATCGTTTGGGGTGTAAGTGTCCCAGTTACTGGTGTAGATCTGATGAGTGATGCTCGGCAGGTCAAGTTGATATAGTGACGTAGACGCAGAGGTGGATGACATTCTGGTAGTGAGATCTTCCAGTGGGGGAGTATATTCGAAGATCTTGAACAGGACGTTACGCACGAATGACGCGGTCGTCCAGTCGTAGATGCAGAGTGCCAACTCGAAGCTGTGAGTCGTGAAAGGGAAGAAGCGTTTTCCGAGACGGTTGATGGTGGTTTTGTGTTTGCCGCCGGCCGACGGGGGGATGTTTTGGTAGGGGATGTAGGATTTGCGGATCATCGATTTGAGGAACTTGACGTCCACCGAGGAAGGGTTGGGGAGTGGCTTTAGGGGGATGGTCGTGTTAGGGGTTCGTGGGTGGATGTAGAGATATTCGAGGTCTGGGGTAGTCGTTCCATAGTTAGGTATAGTAGGTAGGGCATAGTCCTGGGGTTGGGAGGGCAGAGGGAGACGGTACCTTCGCCCAAACACGGTTCTTCAAGGGGGATGATGCTTATTATGACAGATTTGGTATCTTTGTTGATCTGGATAGCTAGGTCCATAGGCTGTTTTGTATCTGGGTTGATGTTCGGGGCAGATTCTATCACTGATCCATTCGCATCAAGGGCTACTGTCGTGGCTGATGGTATCTCTGTCAAATCCAGAAACCCTAGCTTATCCACGATCAACCTGGAAGAGAGACCTGCGCGGGTTTCGAAGTTATCGATGGGCCGGAGAGCGTCAATGGGCTCACCATCGCTGAACCAAAGACGATGTTTACGTTCCCACTCGGCGATGCGCCACATAGTCGAGAAAAAGGACACACTCTGAAGGTAATGTCTTCGCCAGTTGGGCTATAAGATATATATGAACGAGAATATCCAAGAGAAAATTGATAATTCGAATACCTACAATCTTGAGAAATGCTCCTCAACAGTACCAACCAAAGAAAAAAGAAAGAAACGAAGGGAAAGATCCCACAAGGGCAGATGCGCTACATTATGTCTATCTGCAAACACTGCGCCTATCAATCGAGCTGTGTGGATCAGCTGGAGACCTGCAGCTACATCCTGCACTCTTGTCACCGGATCTGACCGTATGTGGCGTGAGCTGAAGCTGAACTACTGGATCGACATGGATCGGTGTGCAGCGTGTGACCCCATCTCCTCAGCCGGCAGCTGGCTCGGGGATTGTCGGTCGTGTTCAGCGAGGCCATGGCTCTAACCAGAGAGCTGTCAAGCAGGCTTACAACATTCACTCATTTATAAGCCCATGTCTTTCGATAGTGGGGACACAATCGCAAATAATAATGACCAGGTTGTTGACGTTGTCCGCTCTACTGAGTTAGAGCTGCGGAAGGGTCGCCGTACTGTAGAAGGGACGGTCGGGAGTTCGCGCCGAGTATTTGCGTGTCTTCGATGGCCTCGTATTGTTCAATGGGTGGATCAACTGGATGGTAGGTATAAACGTGCAGTCTCGAGCGATCCATACATGTCTGCAGAAAGATCAGAGCAGCGGTATGACAGCGGCTTCGGCAGCATTTGCTTGGCTTGTGGATTTATTTGGGGGAGTGATACAGACACACCCCATTTGACTTAATCAGCTAATAATGCTAGTTAGTTAATTTCTGAATAAATAAGAAAAGTAACGAAACATTATAGGTTTCTTTGAAAAAATATTTTTATTATGTTTCTTCATGGGGTAAATACTATGTGGGATTTTATTAATGTTTTTTAAAAAACTTTTATAGGTCTATTTTGTAACATAAAATATATTTTTCTTCACTAAATGAAATGCATAAATCACTGCCCTTTATTTGGTGTTTTCTCTCAGGCTGAACCAGCCGAGCAATTTGTTCCATGTGATATGCAAGGTGTTCGTACAAATCTTGCATAGAATGTTACGTAAGGCAGATAAGACAGGTGTCCTTAGCTTCAGGTGTCTCACCAGGGTGGAAGCAGCGAGCTACACTATTTTCCAGACTATTTGCCTCCTCCCTCGACTTATTGGATGGAGGATGCTGGTGATGCAGGTGCATAAGGATCTTCTCAATATTAGTGGTTGCGAACCCCGAGCATTTAGTTATAGCAAATCCACTGGTGATGATGTAACGCCCGTATGTGATCCATCCATTGAGTATGTCCGTGGTATAGAAGGACTGGGAACGCGCAGTTTTGGAAAGTGCAAGTAGGAAAAGGATTCTGCTGTTTTGGCACTCTCCCAATTCAAAGGATGATCAGGGTCCTGAATATCTTTTCTCCTTTTTGCGTTAGCTAGTGCGAGTCTTTCGCAAAACCACATAATATCAGTCACGGAGTTACTCGCTGTAGCCTCATCGTTCATATTCGGATCAGAGTTAGCTAACGCGCGCCATTGACGTACCATCTCCACCACCCTATCTAGTTCAGATTCCCGTTCTAGCTTTCTCTTGCTTTCTTCTGTCCAATCCTGACTCTCATAGAGCGAAGAGGCGTATTTCTCAAAGCGTTCAACCTTACTAGTCACCACTCGACCAATTTGTAGAATCTCAAGCCAAATTCCAAGTCCCCATTCATCACCAACCGTACTGTCTTCCTCGTCGCTCAAAGCTACGTCTAGGTTATTCATAAATCCTTTCAAGTCGCTCACTTCGACCAGTTCCTTGACAACTCTAATAACTCTAGTAAATTCACCTTCCAACCCAGCCAAAGAAGGATTGTAGTTTCTTTGAGCGTAAAGTATTAGCTTACTAACTTCCGAGTTAAGGTCAGGGAGCTCTTCCTCCATCAATTCTCTTTCTAGTTCTTCATACCGAAGCATGTGCTCCATTGAGCCCCGAGTCTGTGCAGGAAGATTGTCCTTGTGTCGTTCTCCCCAGGCCAAAAAGCTTGTCTGAGCATCGAGCATCTCTGATAGTTGAATAGTTAACCACGAACCGAGTTATTAAGCAGTCTTCAGCTATCAGAACTTTTGTTAATTGCTCAAATGACTCTTTGCATTTGTTGTACAGCTCAGCGATAGTGAGATATTCGTTCTCTGAGAGATCCGCCATGATGAATAGTTGGGGATAGAATGGAAAGAAATTGCTTTCTCTCTCTATCTGAGATTTCGAGGTTCCTGGTCAAAGCAACAGTCAAGTGAGTATCAACTGCTGGAAAGGAAGTTTTGGTTCTGTGGCGAGAATGAATTAAGCCTGAATTCAGCTACCCACTGTGGACCATGAAGAGCCTTTTATAGGCATGTCCATGAGACATGTAATCTAGGAAGGAAGATTTCTATCTGGAATTTTACGGCAAAGTATACCCACTTCTTTATGTCTTTACTAGGTAGTTTACCCTTTTCTTACTCTATCTCTTTATTTGTATATCAATCTACCTTTCTACCTATTTGATGCTTCAACTACTCATTCATAGGGTCAAACTTGGTTAGTTTTATACTCCTATTGTCCATGGACTTAACATCATATTTGTCTTTTGTTCTCAGAGCAAAGAAATCCTGCCCATCTCATGTTATCCATAAAACAGGAATGGGGTATTATTACTTCTATAGCCGCATCGTTCGGCATCTCAGCGGAAACCTCCGGCTTGTTGAACAAACGATGAAGGAAGAAACAGTTTCTCATCGCACGTGTAATTCAGCCATTGGTTCTAGAGAGATAAGTTTTGAAACTTTGTAGTACATGTGCTTTAGATCTTGATCCACTCAGAATTGAACGTGCTTTATAGTAAGCCCGGATTTACCGTTATATTTCCGGATATAATGAATTCACCTGCAGCTATAGGTAGGAGAGTTGCCGCTGTACTCTTACCACCTCGCCAAGGAATGGCCACATTAGGTGCGGAAGAACCCTTAACCTTATCGGCTCCAGTGGGTCCGTCATCACAGACGGAGTTAATGTCGAATTTCCGATGCAGTAGACCCCCGGCACTTGCTGTCGGAGGTGATATGATCATACATTTGTCGTTGCGGGGTTGTCACACAGTTTTTGTAACGATCAATGATCCAGGATATAATATCCAGAGCGGCCTTTCCCATTTGAAATTCGTCATCACCAGTTATGAGTACGCCCAGTAGTCATGTCATTAATGAAGATCGTTATCAAGTTTGGAATTTCAACACAACTCTGTCTCATGTAAGGATCTCTTAACATGAATAGTGCACAAAATGAAATAGCAAGTTCATAACAGTCTTCTGTCAGGTCACTTTCGACGGCCTGCATGCAAGATATATACTATTTACTAGGGTTGGTGGGGGTGGTTCTATAAGGCATTTGGTGCTTCTATTGTCTTGACTATTTCTCAACGGAGCTAAGACCGCATCAAGAAAGTCGATGGCGTCCGTCGCCAGTCGTCGTGAAGAGACACCCAGACCATGTCCAGGTCGTATACTTCGTCAAGTGGGTGGATTACAAATGCGAGCAGGCACCAAAGTGGGCCCGGTGGTCTTGGCCAAATGCTGCAGCCTTGACATCTGTCTGTATGGACCAATATGCTCCCGGTTGGGCCTTGTTTGCACTTGACTTCGAGTCCGTTGATCTCGTATTGAGGGGTCTGGATGGTCTAGGTAGAGGGAGCTGTGAGTCACCAACGCGCCCTTCGACGGGGTCTGTCAGGTGGGGCAGATCATGTGACCGATGGCGACGTTTTTTTATATCCTTTTTTCGCCTGTCGCGTTGGGATTCCGCCGACCTTCAACCACGACACTCTTCCATCCAGCAATGGACAGAACAATAGATCTCAGCCATGCTATTTCGGCGTCCATCCAGCTATGGAACAACCATAATCTCAATACACCATATGTGCCCTCTTTTACAACCGGCGATAAACTCGAAGGCATCATCTCTCTTGTTCCACAGGGCGATATTCGTTTGGATAATATTCAGATATCTTTCATAGGTTAGTCTCGTCAATTTGAATACCATAGGTTTCACTTAATCTTCAGAAATCTTTCTTTTGCCCCCTTTTGCTATCGACTGAAGAATCGTAACAGGGGAGGAAAGCACAAACGTGCGAGGCGCCAACTCCACTAAAGCTTGTCATCGATTCCAAAATATTACCCACAGGGTCCAAGACTCTGCCCTTCCAGACCCACTTGTCCTCAAGAAGGGTCATAAGTTCGACTTCTCTTTCTGTTTCGACGTCTCTGATTACCTTCCGCCATCATCATGTCAACACCATACCACCAGCCAGCTGGTCAAAGCAGCTCATCTGCAACTTCCACCAAGCTTTGGTGACGCCACAGTCTCTGGATTAGGCGGTAAACTCAAGGATGATTTTGCGCCGATCGGGTGCAAGATTATCTATTTCGTTCAGATCAAAATTAACCGGATGAGCTTGGTTTGCGACAAGCTGGAGACAATCTTCGTTCGGAAATTCAAGGTGCGGGTCAAACCGGCACTCGAAGAACAGCCTCCCTTGAATTTGGATAAGTTCGGCGATGAGTTTTGCCTTCATCGAGAAAAACCAGTTCGTGAGGGCCGTTCCAAGACCCCTCAAGGCACGCTGGCTGTGACTCTGGAGCAACCCAAAGCTTTTTGGCTTCCACTCCGAGACCCTTATAGTACTGTCAGTCGGGCTATCAGGTTGTTTCTCCGATACACACCAACAGATAGTAACGATACGACGCTTCCCAACCTCAAGTCCTTGCGTGGGCAGCTGACTGGCACGACTCTCTTTACGACCAGCTTTCACGACGACATACCGACCAAAAGGAAAGACCTTCTCGGACGGCCGCTGAACTTTGAAGACACGATATTCCCATCGTTCACACTTAATATTCCAACACCACAATGGTCACAAGATGATACAGGCTGCTACACTACGACGCTACTGGTTCCTCTGTGGCTGCCCCCTGAGAACTTCATCATAACCTTCCACTCATGCTTGATGTCCCGCATGTACACAATCCACTTCCGTCTTGCAGTCAGCAATACGGCCACATTCTCTCTGAAAGCTCCAGTGGATATCATCGCTCAGCGTGACTCGTCCGTTCTCCCGTCATACAATGCGTCTGTTGGGCTTGTTGACGATATTTGAGCTTGAGCGGCGCAAGCTGAACCACAATATAGATTTAACCGCGTTCCCCGTGGGCGTGCTAGCCTAGATCAACTCTGGCTGATTTAACATCTCGTGGCCTTTCCTGTTGGGAAAAGCCACCGAGTGGTTCCTCATAGGCTTCTGCGCAGCAGGTACACTAATACTAAACGTTTGCGGTTTTTAATAGCTCACTCGCGTCGCAGAACCTTTTCAAGGTCGGAAGATGACATCTTCAACATATCACATACTTCCATAAGGAATCAACCGATGTCCAATTATTTGGAAACATAGTAAGTACACACTAACCGGTCTAACTGGACTTACGGCACTCAACTGTTATCCTGCATTCACGAGCGCCAGCGACTATCTTCTTTTTATTTACTCTAATCCTGGTCTTGGACCTTTACGACGAAATGCCTTGTTTGTATATAGCTCGCACCAGCGTCTTCTTTCAACATTTGATGCCCCTGGTCTTCGTATATTTTTAATGCCACGATCTTTTCATATTTTTACTTCAGTGCTTGCGGTAGGGACGCTCCGGTGGCCATGTTCTTACTACGTTTATGTTACGTGAATGGAGTTACGATGTTTTCTCAAACGTTACCAAATCAACCTATCCCTAAGGAATTGACATTTCTTTTGATTTTTACATGAAAACCAAAAAATCCCGTCATCTCAAGACAACTTCCTGCCATCTTCTCTTCAAAAGCACGTTCGCATCCAGATTCGCACCCAACGCCGCACCAACTTTCATAATCTCGGGCTTGGACGCCGGTGCCAGCTGGATCTTATATCTGAGCAGAATGTGGCACAGAATGATCTTGATCTCAGTGGCGGCGAAGAACCGACCCGGACAGACATGACGACCGAGACCGAACCCGAGATGCTCAGGAGACGGGGACACGAACTTCGACGCAAAGTCGTAGCTCATGATTCCGGACTTCTTGTAGAACCTGAACGCGTCGAATTTCTCTGGGTTTCTGTAGATGACGGAATCCCACATCCAATGGTTCGAGACACAGATCATGGTGCCTTTGGGGATTAGGGTGCCGTCGGAGAGCCGGATGTTGTAGTTTGCTCGTCGACGCATTGAGACTAGGATAAGGTGCATTTGTCAGTACTGATCGTAGAGGTGAGGTGAGGTGAGGTGGGAGGGAAATCAACTTACCGATATTAACTGGCTTCAAGCGCTGACTCTCCTTCAGCACGCTGTCCATCAGCTTCAGCTGCTGAAGGTTTCCTCGGGTCAAGTAGACTCTGTCATTGTCGAAAACTTGAATGATTTCCTTGCGCAGAGCAGAGATGAGCTCTGGTCTCTCCGCAATATCAAACAAAACCTGAGTCAACATATCCGACGTGGTATGAATGGCAACAACAGAGAGCGAGAGCTGCGCAATAACTGGATCATACACACGCCCGTTCGCGCATTGTTCCAACCAGACAAACCCATCCTCAACAACAGCGTTGGGAAGCTCACCGATGGGTACTCTTTCTTTCTCCCTGGATCCTAGAACAGGGTCGATGATGCGACGTGCCTCTGCAAGCTCGTTGCGCAGTTTCCGGCACTGGGGAATAAACTTGGACACGAGGGGGCGCAAGAACTTGGGGAAAAGGCGCAAGATGTAAGCAGCCACGAATGCGTCGACTGTGTAGTTGACCATGATTTTGTGCCAGGCGGGATTGCGACCGATCTCGCTACCGAGAAGTGTCTTCGAAGTGAGACGAGCAACGAGTTCGAGGACATTCTTTCTAAGTGGGAACTCGCGCCCATCTAATCTCATTAGTTGATATTCTCAAACATGGGCTAGACACGGGGAACCCGTTACGGAATGCGTACCGTCAAAACCAATCGGCCATTCCTCAAGCGCCATCAACGTCTCTTCGGATAGGGGTTTGACGACATGTTCTATAATGCATTAGCGGATGTAGAAACCCGATCGCCCAGCGGTGCTGACCAAGCTTCTTACTAAGTTTCGTTTTGATGACATCGTGGATCAACTTCTCCGACGTGAACGGATCAAAGCCCGGTATTTGCGCGTGGAAGTCTTCCGCTAGAGACTCGCTGAAGCTCAGTCCCTCGATGGTGCGAATCTGATTGGCGAACTTTGGATGAAGAACCATGATAACTCCATTGTCCATTACCATTCGGAAGACATCGCCCTGGTTTGAATCTTGTGGTTAGTTCTGTTTTTCTGTTCTTGAGGCAGAAGGTAATCATACCTGATCGAATCCACTTTTGATCAGGGTTGCAGCGTTCGCTAGGAACCTGCTCTTTGCCTTGAAGTAGCCAATCTCGTACCACTTTCGATTGTTTACAAAGGGAATATCAGACAGACGAGTGTCATAATTGGCAAAGAAGATCATGCGTGGAATAAGCACGAAGACCCAGACCAACAGAAAGTCTGCAAAAGGAAAAGGAAAATTCTTCAAGCCGTAGAGAAACCGCTGGACAACCAGCTCAAGGAGGGACTGGGACGCCATGGTGATGGTTTGTGCTTATCGGGAGTAGGGTCATAATTGACGTGCCAAAAGGTGAAAGAAGAAGAGAGAAGGAGAGAGAAGGAGAGAGGGTTGTCTTCTTTCTCATTTTCATGCGACGTGATTATGTCGGCGATGTTGCGTATCACCTGAACGATAAGATTGTCCGGAAGCTTCCATTTTGATAACAACAGGAATTGCAGACCAGGCGACAACCACAATTGGATGTGGGTTATGACAACCAAAGCACGCCTGGGTCTTGCTCATCTTTGTTTGCTATTCTTTTAAATATAAGATCTGAGACTTCTCATGGTCCCAAAAGCCCACCGGTGAGTATGGGCCATTAGTGCTCTGTTGCATGTGCACGCTGTGCCTCAGGTACCTAGAACGTGTGCATATGCAAAGACTTCATTTTCCTCTACAAACGGTTTCATGGTTGCCATGATCAATTGAGTTAGTGTAGATTGAGAATAAGGCCGTCCTCATCCCTTTGTTTATCTCCTCCCTATTTCTCCAGAATCCCGAGCATAAACTCCCAAGAGACACCATAATTGTAAAAAAGATCATTCTCATAATCTGGCTCTGAATTGCAGCATGGCTCATATGTCTCTCGCAGGGATAGCTCGGAGTTAAGTGCTGTCCACTTGCCATGTGCGCGAAGAAATCTGGCTATCGCCGAATGTGCGTTCCATTCAGCCAACTTGACGGCTCTTATAAACTGCCTTCGGCCTTTTCCATCAATCAAAGCTCCATGATCAAGAAGAGATGCAGTATTTCAGTCCAGCCATGCTCTGCGGCTGCTTCTAGAGCAGTCCGGCCTTCTTTAGGCGCTCATCCTGCGTTAACGTCAGCGTCCTCCTCAAGCAGCCTGCGTACAATTCCAATGAAACCCTGTATGGAAGCAAATTGGAGTGCCGTGGCTCCACGGCAAGGACTGGGTGCCCTGTTCACGTCCGCGCCTGCATTTAGCAGTCTTTCAACGACATCCATATTTCCCTGCATTACTCCAACTTGTAGGGCAGTTGTTCCATAAGAGCAGAACCCCCCGTCAACGTCTGCACCCGCCCCCAGAAGAAGGTTGAAGATCTCCATGTTGCCCTTACTCACTGCCTTCTGCAGAGGTGTGTACTTGTCTGTCGGGTTTTGTGATTGATTGGGATCAGAGCCATAATCGATCAGCATCTGGGCCAGAAGATCATCGAATATGGCCAGTCTGTCGCAAAGAATAGCAGCCTCCATGGGACTTATTCTGCGCCTCCAGAGATTTCCCGGGACTTTTTTGGCCCATTTGTTCAGTTCTCGTATGGAATTAGATATTCCACCAAAGCGTCATCGAATCCCGTGATTGCCTCGGCCAGAATACTTTGCCCACTCGACCTCAGAACCTGCAGTGGTAATCCGACAGATTCTAGATACCATGCTGTTTCTAGTCCTGGAATTCTGAGTACTATTCCCGGATTGGTTGCCCCACAATTCACGAGTATGTCGATCATTGACGTCTGGGCCCTGAGAAAAAAGCAATACCACCCAGTCCACACTGTATGATCCGATAGAGAGCCGCAGCATCGCTTTCAAAGCAGTCGCATATTTTGGTTTGTTTAATTGCGGAAAAGCGGACTTTAAGAATGGTTTCACAACATCGAAATGTTCAATCTTCAGCTTTCTGTCCTTAGTACTGGATATGAGAGCTTCCAAGCCAATTAGTATGTCTCCCCCATAAGAGATGAATAGGCTGATTAGATGCTTCTTTCGCGATAGGATAGCAGAAGCAAGAACGGGCATGCGTCGGTATTCGTTCACGCTAGCATTGTGTGATAGAAGTAGACGGACCATTTCAGTAGGAGAGAATTCCGTGCAGAAATATTCCAATGGAGTCATTGCACCGACATAATGACTTGTAGAAACCCAAATCAGAGTTTGTGGGTTCATTCCAGCACCAAGCATGACAGTAATTGTTTCCCGGTCAACTGATCTTACTGCGCTTCCGAATACCTCTTCGGCAAGGACTCCAGATGTCAATCCTGGCATCGCTAATAGATGTTTCATGTTCTCATTCGTATTAAACCCTGAGCTGTGGATGACGCTAATCATCAATTTATTCTCTCGCTTTGCGTCGAAAGCGAATCTGCTGTCAAACCCCTCCCAGCAGAGTTCATGTGCTAGGTTACCAACAAGGCTGAAGTTATTCGATAACAGATAGAAGAGCAGTTTCAGGCTCTCCGGTAATTGCGTGTCAATCGGTTGGCTGTACAGTATTTCGGTCGTGGTTCGATGATCTTCCTCACACTCTTCGGGCATGAGCACCCTCAGAACCTCAGTAAAACGAGTCGCATTTGGTAAGCCATGTTTCTTTTGTAATCAGAGGATCTTCAGACAGAAAAGAGGAATTTTGGCTTCATCGTTCGTCGTAAAACAGTGTTTAGGGCGGCTTGTTTGAAGAATAGCAGAAGAAAGGGACGTTAGAGAAATTTGACGACCTGCATTCGTTAGAATCTGATTGAAGAGTCTTTGTGGTAATGTGCAGCTCTCGTACCCTTATCCTTCAGCTGCTGTAGGAATTGAAACCAGGGTAGACTCTAGGGCCATTGTAAAATACGCACTGGTATAGGGGAGCATATAGCAAAGCCTTCTGGCATCTCAGGTGATGGAACTAGAGGATATTAGTGAGATTATTTGTCCTCGGCGACGACAATAAAGCTGACCTGAGTATAGCTCGGCCATTGAAACAAAACCATGCTTTAATATGCCAACCTGGTCTTTGCTGGGTGGATACTGAATGCCATCGACATAAACTTCACTGTCTTTTCCGAGTTCTCGCTTGCGCTTCTGAATTTTCCTGCTGACGACTTTCCACTTCCCCGGCGTGAACTTGTTCTTTCGAAACCCCCATTCTATTGATATAGTCTCGTATTGTTTCTTCCTATTTGTGTCTTTCCTCAGCGAGGCTGACGGAACCAGCCAGGCAATCTGTTTACCGCCACAGACTGCTCGTCTCCAATGATCTTTGCGTGACCCCTGTCAATACGAGAACCAGGCGCATACATAATCTATACCCAACGTCATTCGACCATGGCGCTTGGTCATCGTAATGGAGGTCATCCATTAGTTGTTGACCAAAATCCCTTAACCAAGAGTCTTTTGTGAACAAGAAGCGTACAACAATCTTGCCTGAGATCATTCATTGGCCTAAAATAGTCGGGATAGATTTTGGAAATCCGGGTCTGTCTAATTAACGCCTCGATATACATTCAGGTAATTTAATGCCGTCTGGCTATTTAACCTCACCACAATTCCCAACTCCTGATAGCTCCTCGATGCATACGCTACACTCCTGGGGATCTAGACTTGTTTGGCTCTCTGGCCTTTTTCATATCCCTTTCGTCTCGTACTCCTCCTGTCTTGATCAATCGTCGGTCTGCAGGCGAATTTGCAATGGCACATTCTGGGACCTTGCAAGAAGAGAATGGTGTTCTCGGGGACCCTTTCAACTTGCCCTTTCATGCCTTGCCTCCCCTGTTCAACTCTGACTGTCTTTTCAATGATATTGTATTTTTGGAACAATATCTGCTCAACGCGACGAAGTTTGGACCCTGTATACAACCCAATCGGCCGGACGCCCCACATACCTTAAATCCCGCCCGGTTCGGGAGCTTACCGGTGAATCGTCCGTTTCAGGGAAATGCCGGTGCATCAAATGCCATCAGCCAAGAGCGAGGTAGTCGGCCTAGAGCAGCAGTATGTACATTTCTCCCTCCTGGATTACCAATTACTGACTATGATTATTTACAGTGTCAACAACACAGCATGGAGGTGCTACTGAAAGGATTGCGACTACAAGGGCTCTTTCGGGCGCAAAGCAGAGCTGATGCGACACATTGACACCCAGCATGTCAATCCTCGCGCACATCAGTGGCCCCGGTGGGAAGATCTTCAACCGGAAAGACAATCTCGCCGAGCATCTCCAAAGAGTCCATGTGTGAAAGGGATGCGATGGTGCCGAACATTTGATTTAATTCCATTTTCAGGGGGGATGTTCTTGAATGATAGAACAATAAACTCTTTTGGACATTTGACAGTGTGTTCACTTTATTGGGGGTTACATTAGTATGGGATATATGATCTCTGACATGAGCATTACACTTTTTGTGACTTAATGACCTTGGGGTTGAAAAAACTAAGATTGATTTGTCCTGCGCTTCCTTTTTTGTCGCCTAAGGCACTGTTTCTTTTTACTGTTTTGCTGGTGCATTTGCGTTGTTAGAATATTATTTTTCATTCACTTCACCGTCACCTCAAACTAGTCACTTGCTCACATTTTTAGCACGCGATTTCAATCTTCTATCTTGTCTCCGGTCCTTCAAAAAGTGTTACTCTATTTTCTATCTCCTTGTCTAAGGTCCTCATTTGCCATTTCTTGGTTTTCGTTAAATCTTATCTCCTCTCTGAGTAAGTCAATTGGATCAGTAACGAGTATCTCTCTTCAGTTGATGGGTTTCGAACTGAGGAGATTGTTGTGTACTTTGAAAATTTTCTCTCGTCTTATTACGTCTACATTCTTCCCAGGCTTTTACCTTAAGGCTGTGGATAGCTAAGCATTCTGCATCTATAGTAACATTTCTTTTACATCAAGCTTTCAAGAGCAACAGGATCCTCCCTTGACAGGCCAGAAGGAAAATATCGGTCTCAGCAAACTGACTCACTGTCGCTCTGCCTCGGGTTTTTTTTTTTTTTTTTTTTTTTTTTGAAGCCCATCTTACTGGTCGATCTTCAGGCAATTCATCGCAACCCAAACCTTCGATATGAAAACGGTCAACCAGCCTGCTGCTGAATCTACGTCGGCGTCTCTACCTGCCCCCAAGCCAACTACATCGACTCGAAGAAAGGATGACGAGCACAAAGCCAAAACTAAGCGACCGCAACCGCACTTCTCGCCCTTTGGAAGTCCCGAGTGGGCCAAAACAATGAAAACGGCGATGGCTACATGTAGCAAGACACGCGAGCTACACGACACAAGTTCCGAAGTAGCCTGGACACCTGGCTTGCAGTATGACAAGAAGAATTGTGAAAGCTGGCCATACGCCGGCATTCAGACCGACCCTAAGGACAAGACGCGACCTCCACCGTATACCAAACTATCCGACTATTGGGTCGCCAAGCTGGTCGCGAATCATCCCCGGACAACTTATCGGGAAAGGGGCACCCTATGGCGATGGGACTTTCACAAGAATGGTGAACCAAAGCGTACCCGTCACCCTCGCGGTGATCCAGTCATCGTCAAAAAGGGAGACACCTTGTACATACCAGTGGTTCGCGACTTCTATCTGCTGTGCGGCGAGCACCTGGCGGCACGTTTTCCTTGGATCATCAATGTCTGCCCTTCGAGCGGCGCGAGGTTGTGGACCGGTTTATTTTCCTTGCCGAGTTCAAGCAATAGCTTGTTGGATTCCGTGGCCCTGAGCACTAAGCCCAATTTCCCTGCGAGTTTAACATTTCCTTACGCGGGCAAGGCTCGCCTGGAATTTGGGCCTAACAACGATATTATCTGTCTTCAAAGCGATGAGTCCCCCGCACAGTCACGTCAGGTAACAGGTTCAGTTGAGTCCGGTATCGAGACTTCTATCAAGGACGATTCTTCTGAGGAGTCTACTGGAGCTGATATCCCGGCTAAATCCGTTTGCAATCATTCTCAATCGGCAGCCCCCGATAGATATCCGAAATCTCCCCTTTCTGATCAGAGCGAAGGAGCTGCTTCTACCCTTCCCATTGTCTATAAAAATGCCAGCCCTCTTCGTCAACTTGCGATTCAAACACCGGTTCCTACGCAGGTCAATCCTTCTACGTCTTTTGCTGAAGTTCAATCGCTCTACCCTTCTCAAGGATCCGATATCACCATGAACGCCAGATTGAGTGAAAAATTGTCTCTCCCCCAGGGTTCTGGCCACCATACCAACGCTCCTGGCATGAATGCCACATTGAATGATAACGACCGTTTTGCCCGAGGCTTTCTTTGCTATCCCGGCTTTTCTAACGCCAGGTTGAATGACAACGACCCTTACGCCCCAGGTTATGGCCACCATACCAACGCTCCTGACATGAACGCCAGATCTGGTGAAAACGTGCCTCGCCCCCAGGGTTCTGGCCACCATACCAATGTTCCTGACACAAACGCCGGATCGGGTGAAAACGAGCGTATACCTAAAGGACCTGACATCCATCGCGATGAGCCTTTTCCTGAGATCAACGATGCTCGGAAGCTTATCAACAATGCTCAGAATCTTATGACCAAGGCTCTTTGGCAACTTAATTTAATTCAAACCAAAGAGAGAATTCGCAGTGTCCGTATGGATGCTATGAGGGACGACCTACACAAGGAGCAAAAGGAGAATGCGGAGCTGCGCGCTCAACTCATCACAGCCGTGAACACCATTGACCATCCTATGGGGTCAAATCAGTCCAATCGTGAAAGCACCCTGGTCCCACTTCCAGGGTCAAACCAGTCCAATCTTGAAAACCTCGTGGTCCATCCGAATCAGACTAATCAGTCTGTTCGTCCAGATCGGATATATCGTTGGAGGGAAAATAGACGTCGTGCCCAGGCGAATAACCCATCTCACGAGCCTCGTGATGAGCCTCGTCGACCTCATGAGGAGCCTCAGTCTGACCGTCGTAATACAACTCGTTCTCGACGGGATTCTCCCCCTTGCGGCTCTAGTGTCACGCTTGAAAGACTTCTCTCGATGTCAAATTGTGATCGCGTCGCATGGATGGAAGGCCGTTTGAACTGATACCAACTGTTGCCAGTCAATCGGTCCCTTCTTTTCTATCTCTTTTGTTGAGATCAAGGTCTATCCGTGAATTCAATCACTCTATCCGAATGGAATACTTATCGTGATAGTCCTGTATCTAAATTTTATCAAAACTTTCATATTCCTCGAATCCATTTGAATCCAGTAAGTTCGTAGAGTCAAGAGTTATTAATTTATGGTTTTACTTCTTTATATGTTGCCTTCTATGCTTGGGCAAGGCCAGAACTCAGAACATTAAGTCCCTATTTCTGGGTGGCCCTCGTAATCTGTCGGGACTGTGGAGCGATTTAGCAAACAGCATCCAGACCTGGCGGCGGATATCTGGCACAGAGATTTACCTCTTTTGGCTAATTTCGAATTCCCCCTGCATGCAACCTTTACCTTCACGAAATCACTGTTTCTGCCTCTTACAAGCTCTCTTGCGCTTTGTATCACTATGCACGCAGCCGCTCGCATAGCCAGCTCTTCAAAGCAAGAGCCTGTTGGGTCTCGTGGTGGTCATGAAAAAGGGGCCAAATGAGGGGTGCGATATGGCACTCGTTCTGACCAATGACCAGGGTTGTATCAGGATTTGATTTCTGCATATAATCAGTCAACGTGGATGATCATGCGATCTATTGGCAATATGACATACGGAAAACCTCTGAACCCAAGTCGTGATCGAATCCAGTAACACCTCATCGCTGCCAGCGAGGACGAGAGTCTGTTTGACCAGAGCACCTACCCACCACGTTTCAGGAGCTTCAACTGCTTCGGCGTAGTGGTTCGTGGATACTCCATTCAAGTAGTCTTGCGACCATCTCTCTGTGACTTCCCTTGCGTCGATATCTTTATGTTCGTTGGTCGTCATGCTCGGCCAGTCGTGGCGAAAAGAGATCCAAGGTGACATGAGGACGAGAGCTTTGAGCGGCTCGGCGATTCTCAGTTCTGCCACGTCTTGGGACGGATGTGATAAATGAGACAGAATTACCAAGCATAGATTAGCACCTGCAGAACCATCAGCAACACATTAAATGCAAGACCTGAACATTTCTAGTTACCGATAGAGACCCAGCCAAGCCAGGCATCTATTTTCCCCCAAATACTCAGCATGTGATTCATTGTGTTAATGTTTTCTTTTCCCGGAACATGGCTATTTGGACTAATTTTGACGCATATAAGTAATTTCCACAACCATATCCCTGCCGCGGAGCGGTTTACATTTTGATTAGTACTTGCATCTTCTACCGAGGTCCGATTTTATTACACACAGAAGTATTCATAGGTAAATGTATCTGTCCTTCATTCATGTGCCCTAAACTATCACATACGATCTTATCGCCTCAAGTCTCAACGTATCAAACTTAAGCCTTGACCCCGCCATGAAATTGACTATTCCTTCTTATTCTTCATAGTCAAGTCCCAGAGTATATCTACAGCCCCATCCTGGAAAGACTTTCCTGTCCCTTATCCGTAAACATAAGTAACCCGTTCACATACCCAACCGTCCAAATCATCGGATACCGCCAATGGAACCACATCGGGTGATCAGTGGCCCCAAACCACCCGAAATGTTTGTCCAAGTTGTAACACAGATAGTTGCAGGTGCTGAGAACCAGCAATGTCAAAATCGCAGTAAAATGGGCCGCCTTTTTGCCGTAGTAGTGGTCCACGATGAAGCAGTTTATCAGGCCACCCATTGCCCCGGCCATGCCTAGGGGACAGAAAACGAGCGTCCACATGACTTTGTAGAAGAGGTCTTGCGTGCCACTCATGATGAAGACGCCGACGGCAAGAAAGATGGTTTCGGCGATGAGGGCGTGTAGCCAGAAGAGGAGGAAGGGACGGAGGTAGATGGCTCGTCGCTTGCGGGCAGTTGGGAGGTCATCGTTTGAGACTATGATGGGCTGGTAGTTGTGGTTGGGTGCCATTTTTTATGATTCCAGTTGAAGATGTTTGGTTTGGAATTGGTTACTTGCTGTAGAGTTTCTTTGACGTTGGTTTAAATATTCGAAAGTGCCACTCTTCCTTCATAGTTGGCGCATCCCTACAGGAGAATACAACCGAGGTTTTTCTATTTAATCAATATCCCGCGCATCATCATGAATGATTAGTGATCAAACCAGCAACCAACACAGTATCCAGTATACTCCCTCCGAAGACGGCCTGCTCCCTAAAGCAATTTCTACTGTCACCGGAGGACGAAGACATACCGAATGAAGGAATCTGAAACTCAAGTACCGCATAAGGTAGTACATGATGATATTCGGTTGTACAGTAACCACTCCGCTAGACTGTTAAATTTGGAAGAACGGCATTTCTGCGCCATTTTATATTTACGACAAACCAC